AGTCGTAGTTCTTGTGTGTCATATAGGTAAATACTGGTTTGTGTAGGCCATATACATTTTCCTCATGCTAAACTAATGAGTGGGTTGTCCTAGGGTGATAGTGCTGGTAGTAGTAGTAGTAGTAGTAGTAGTAGTAGTAGTAGTAGTAACCATGTGCCCAAATATATTTGATTGAGAATCTTGTAGTCCAATTTAAGATTTTGTATTAGCAGTAGCAATAGCAGAAGTAGTTATGATAGTTGTAGGAGTGGCAGTGGTGCATTTACAATAACAAAAAATCATTTTAGAAAACAAGTACTGGCAGATAGCAGTAGTGCATGTCATTAGACAAGGGTGGCTCCTGTGGTTGAGAGATTGATTGGCAGTTCCATTCCTGCCATAGTCTTTCATTCTGTTTTGGGGATCTTGGGCATAACACCTTTCCTGTCACAACATATGAACGAGATTGTGTGATTGTTGATGGTCGGAAAGCTTTGGTGCAGATTGCTCGAAGACAGCGGTGGCTACAAAAGTATTTACCAGTGTCAGGCATAAATGAACAATGTAATTTAAAACATTATAGTATCCACAAAGGCAGTACTAGCTATTTCCAGTACAGGTAGTAGTGGGTAGTAGACAGTTCTAGAAGAAGTATTGTAGTAAGAAGTGCCACATTTGAACACAAGCTGTAGTAGCAGTAGCAGTAGCAGCAGCAGCAGCAGCAGCTGTAGTAGTAGTAGTAGTAGTAGTAGTAGTAGTAGTAGTAGTAGTAGTAGTAGTAGTAGTAGTAGTAGTAGTTACTCTGGGCTAGGATTACAAAAAATAAAATTAGCCCTATAATATATTACTTTTAGTAGTAACACCATTATAGCAGTTGTACTTTTTGTGGTCTGAGCCAATGGGACTCCCCTCGTGTTTAAGTTCTGCGTGGGATGAGTTTACATATACCTGTATATTGCAGAATATGTGTCGAAGTATTTCCCAACAGCCCTTTCAAACGGTCTATGAGTCAACAGTCACTGATAACAGGGGCTTGACTGAAGGTGGGTCCATAAAGACATACCCCAAAACCAGAAGAACAGCATTACATAGTTCAAATTCAGTGGATACCCTTAAATTTGTGATCATTTTGTGCAAAAAAATCTAGAAAAATCTAATGAGAAATAATAAAGAATTCAAAATTTGTGTCTTAATTTAAAAAACATGTAATTTTCACACAATTTAAAGTTTCTTAACTTTACTGGTTGAACTTTCCACTGTAGGTATAAAACTTTTCCATTTTGCATTTATTAAATTACTGCTGTTTTTATTGCTAAAAATATATCTGGAAAAATCTGTGCATGGGCTTGCCTCTGCACAGATCTGACCTGTATCTTGGCCTGGTGGTGCCACAAGATTGTTTCCATAAATATAGATATGATTAATCCCTGTAATACTGTGCAACATTTTAAGCAAAGCCACAGCATCTCCATGGAGACAAGCAGGATGCGGACCCTCCACCAGAAAAGATACACAATACACCTTTAATTGTTGTTGTATTTCACATTTTTTAAATAATTGACTGTCCCATTAGTTGTAATTGGAAAAAGTAAAAATTCAGCCCTAGCAATGGTTCTGCTGCTGCTGTGGTCAGTGAAGGAGAGGAGAGAGAGTGCATTTATAATGTTTGAAAATTGAATATATACAGCAAGCTGTTCATGCTAATTATTTCCTGATTCCTTGTGTTTACTGAAGCAAACTGCATGGAGCTCATAAAGCACTAAAACAGGCGTCATGTGTCATATCCTTTTAAACAGTACTTTATAGGAAAACCAAACCAAAACCACAAACACCCTGCAAACTAGTTAATAATTATTGTTCTCTGAGAATAACAAAAGGAAAGGTCAAAACATCTTAGACATTTGGTAATAAACAAGGTCACACATAAATTAGAATGGAGAACTTTCCTGGTATTAGTTAGTAGTAGTAGTAGTACTAGTAGAAGTAGTAGTTTTTTTGTGTTTTTTTTATGCTTTGCTTTGCCTAGAATGTTCCACAGTGTGACATTTAACTTTTCAATGCCCATGGAGACAAGCAGGTGAGGCCATCAGGTCAAGTTACTGGGCAGATCTGTGGAGAGGCAATCCCACTTACCGTATACAAAGCATATTTCAATATAAACACCCATAACTGAAAAGTTTAATGCCATACTGTGGAACATTCCATGCAAAGCAATAACATTACCAACAAACAGTGAAGGTATGTAGGGCATCTTTAAAGCAACAGCAGAATTATTTTGTTGGTATTTTCAGTGGTTTTATTTCTCAAACATACTTACAAAAAATATTCTAACTGTGAATGGGGTCGCCTCTCCACAAATCTGACTTGTAATTCGGTCTGGTTTGGTTTCCATGAAGACAGAAAGGTTTAATGTCATTATGAAACATTCTAAAGCAATAACATCTCCAGGAAGAAAAGCATTTGATGGACCCTCCACCAGAAAAGTTACACAATGCACCTTTAATATTGTACAGTGAGTGGTAGAGCTAAATTTGTGGTTGAAAAAATTAGACTAGTTGCAGCCATAGTATTAGTACAAGTACTAATATTAGTAGTATAGTATTGTACAGTATGGTATTTTAAATGTTGCTTTATTATTTTTAGATTATTTCATTCCACCTATTTGTGTAAACTTAATAATGAAATACTTGCAGTGAATGTAGAGGATACTAGTCTTTCACATGGTGGTACAGTTCAGTGTTTTTCTGCTTCATAGTTGGACCTTGATACAGGTTTGATACAAAGTCTTTTCTTGTGAACTCAATGCTCTTCTTATCACGACTTTATGGACAAAAGAACCCTCCTCAGCCTCACGCACACTCACTTTGGTTAATAATCTGCATTACTTTATTTCTTTGTTGACTAAAATCTGGGTCTGGTTGCGTGCCACCGCTGTTTGCAGAGTCTAAAATATTACTCAAATGCATTTCAAAATATTGATCAGGATAACATTTATGAAGTTTCTAGTTTCTGTTCATGGGTTCACCTTCCTGTTCTATGCACATTCTATAATATTTTGTTTTTTGAATTGCTAATCGCCATGGCAATAGTACTAATTTAGCAGCAATAGTAGGAGTAGTAGTAGTAGTAGTGGTAATTGTAGTAATAGCTGTAATTGTAGCAGTAGTTGTAGTAGTAGCAGTACTATTGGTAGTAGTAGCACCAAGCAGTAGTAGTAGTCTAGTAATAATTTTAGCAGTATTATTTATTATTATTATTATTATTATTATTATTATTATTATTATTATTATTATTATTAGTAGTAGTAGTAGTAGTAGTAGTAGTAGTAGTAGTAGTAGTAGTAGTAGTAATAGTAGTAGTTGTAGTAATAGCACCACGTGCCTTTGTGATCTGCCCTGTAGGCTCTATAAATGTTATCAGAAAAATGACTATTGAATTATTTGCATGGAGGAGTTCATGCATGAAAATCACTATGCAAGATCATTTTAGTATTTTATATTTGAAAATGTATTAGTTGATAAGAAGATGATATTTTCCATAGAATCTGAATAGTACTGATTTGAAATTGGAATCTCAGAAAGCCACTTGTGAATTTCCCTCATAATAATTTTATTTACAGAGAGTATGTAAAGCTTTATTTGACTTTTCATATTTTCCATTCCTCCTCCAGCTCTGTCCCTCTTCCCAAGTCGAACATTTGAATAACAAATGTGCGATGGCTTTCCTCCCACACACTACAAACAAAGTCCTGTATGTGCGTATCGTATCTCTCAGAAGGACATGCCTCGAATACAGTCTCTGCCTCTTCGCCTTGCTACAGTGGACCCATTGACCCAGTCCAAGCACAAAACACAGTCTCAAAGTGAAGAAATAAATAGTTTTTTATCAGAATTTTTAACTGAGGACAGAGAAAGACTTGAAATATGCTACTGCAGATTTGGTTTTAATGAGCAGATGTGAAGATGAATTTTTCTAGCTGGTGTTGTTTGTTGTTGCATTTGCCATGTGGAGACAAAAAAAAAAACGATTATCATAATACTTTAAATTTTTCTCATGATTTTTGCTTTACATCGCATACATCATTCTGTATTCATGGTGATGGTGAGCAAATACATAGTCACAGCTGCCCTGGGGTAGACTGACAGTAGCAGGGCTCCCAATCTGCATCATTGACATCTCCAACTGCAGCTATTGATACAGGTGAAGAAGGCAAAATGTCTTGCTCAAGGACACAATGGCAAAAAGGCAAAAATGGCATATATGGCATGATATGTAAAAGACATACATTGAAATTATACATATACATATACATATACAAAAGACACACATTGAAATTATACTTATGCATATTATTTATGCATAACTGTTAAAGGTCCTATATTATCCAAAATTGACTCTTGTAACCTTTAAACAATGTTATCATTCTGTTACCTCATCAAAAACATATCTGTGGTTGTGATTTGTTTCATTCACGCATGGTTGAGTTACCCTTTATTATTAGTCTGTCTACATCTTCAAAGCTCAAAATTCTTTGTTCTACCTTGTGATGTCATGTAATTGTAATTTTCAAGTTAGCAGCACCCTTTTACCTTTTGTTCTGTAGAAACATCACAAGGTGGAACAGAGTGTTTTCCATCTGAGAGAAGAACTCAGTTTAACCATGCAGGATTTGTGTGTTAAACATGAGAATGAAACAAAATACATCTCCAGGTATGTTTGTGATGAGGAAACAACATTATAACATAGAACAGAAAATAGTGTAATATGTCCTCTTTAAGATTTTCTGGCCAAATGTCATGTGAAATGGGAATAAGATACAGAGTTAAACTTTAAATTCTGAGGTTTTGACTTTTAAAGCTTTAGTTTTCTTTTATAGGCACTGTTTGAGGACTTTAAACCATTCGTAAAAAAAAGTGTAATATATTGTTTTAAATTTTTATTGTTATGACCTATATGCAGGATTTTGTCAGACATTTTTTTGTATCTCAATATTTTATTCATATGTATTTTGTTGTTTCCAGTTTGTATGGGGACACAGAACGGCCTGAGCACGACGGGGAAGTCTGACATTCAATTCAACATGATGAAGGAGCGTTACAGTGGCTGTGAGATCGTCATGGGCAACCTGGAAATCACCATGATGGAGCATTACAGAGACTTCTCCTTTCTACAGGTGACAGCATGCTACACAATACATTTACAGCAATCAATCAAACTGACCTTTCACATGTATTTTGAAGTACCAAGTAAGACTACTGGTACTTCAAAATAATAATCAGGTACAAGTGAAAAGTTAAAAAGTACATTACAAAACATGTTAGTAATTTCACATATAGACATTTCTATATGTGTTTATTAGTAAAAAAATAATACAGATAGTTTTAGATAGAAACATTATTCTATTATTTCCACCTTCAAGGCACTCAAAGCACTACAGAAACCACTCACACACACTCTCATACACCAGTTCGTACAGACACTGGGGGTGAGGTGGGTTAAGTGTCTTGCCCAAGGACAGAACAACAACATTCATCTGTGGATCTAACCATTTAGCCAATGATGTTTATGTCAAGAGCAGGTTTCAAACTGTTAAGCTTTGGATCAATGGAATAACACTTTATCCACTGAACCCACTGAACTACTGTCACCCAGCTATTTTCTCCATTATCTGTTTGTCACACTAATAACTGGTATACATCTTCATATTAACGCCGAAGGTGATTTTTTTTCATTTTGATACTTTATAAATGTGTTACTTGAGATTTGGTTCATGATGTTCTTCGTTTCATTGTGCTAGCTTTTTGTCTTGCTGCCAAAGATATCCTTCTTTTGTTTCCAGTGCAGGAGTGTGAGATATGTTAGAAAAGTGGGATTCTAATGTTGAATATAAAACAGAATAATAATGGGCTGTACCTGGCATCTTATCTTTCAAAAAATTAAAGCTGCACTTTCTAACTTTCCTAGTGGAGGGTCTGCTCTGCACCTGTTTGTCTCTGTAGTGATGAGATTGCTTTTCCTGGAGTGTTTGCATCCCCACAGACCAAAATTTTAAAAACAAATATTTTGTCTAAGGTGCATCAATAGGCTGTTATAGTAATTTTAATAACAGTAGTTTAATAACAGGCAGATTCTTTAGTAAACCACGTTTGGCTCGTCTCCTCTTTAGTACAATGAGTTCATTCAGCTCTGGTTTGACCGCTTCTGTCTGTACATCTAAACTCTGAGTGAAGGGTGACTAAAAACACAAGAAAAACACACCTCCGCTCTCAACAACAACAACTCAGATCAAATTTAAGACGTGATTTTAGCCTGTATTTACACAGTGACAAGCCTCGTGTTTTTATCCCTTACTGATTCAGTGGACCGTGGCAATCGACTCAAATAATAAACAAAAAACTCAATACTTCAAACTGAAAGGGGAACTGGACACTATCAAAATTAAGGTACTTTATTTTTTGAATATTTTAAAAGGGCAAGAAAACATGTAATGTAATGTATAGTTTGTTTTCTTTCATTCACATATGTTTGTGCAGCCCTGCATTAGTCTGTCTACATCTCTAAAGCTCAAAATGTTCTGCTCCATCTTGGAATGTCATACAGTGATAGTTTTCAAGTTAACACCTACCTTTTAACTTTTGGTCAGCAGAGATTGGTAGTTCCAGGGCTGAAATTATCCAAATGAAGATGTTTAGAGTTTAAAAACACAGTGGAACATATTATCTGTATACCACATCCCAAGGTGGAACAGAGTGTTTTCTGTTCCAGAGAAGAACCTAAATATGATGGGTTTGCATGTTAAACATGTGTAAATGAAACAATTTGCGATTCCAGGTATGTTTTTAAAGAGAAAAGTATATTATATTATGACATCAGAAGATAGTGTAATAAAGGCCCTTTAAACCTTACTATATTATTTTAACATCTCTACAGATTGTGCTGTCATACCTCATAGAAATTTTGGATCAATAACATTTTAAATCAGTGGATCTTATGATATAAATACAAAAAATTGCATTAATTTTTTAGGGTTGGGTCTTATTGGTCGCTCTAGAGTTTGGATTCAGTTACAGTTTTTCTTTTCAAAAATAAAATAAAATGTCTATTATTGAGTTCATGAACAGGACAGACTTTTAATCAGTGACATTCAACACAAACACAGTCAAATTTGTTCCTCTAAAGTCTTAACTCTGCTCCAAACCACATGCTTTTACTGACAGAGGACTTCCTGTACACCTCTGGATTAAAAACACCCAAGCTGTTCACTGGCAATTTGAAATGACTGGATCTCCATTAAATTAAATTGTAATTAATTTCACATAAACATTTTTACTAAAAGCACAACAGTTTAAAATTTTGTAATTGTGTGTTGTGCGTTTGACTCTTGAAATTGTCTATTGGTGGGTTTTCGATGACATCATAACATCATAACATTAGGCCAGCAATATTTAATACAGATAGGGGTAGTTTTTCATTGTAATAGCGCAAGTTAATGTCTAGTCAGTAATAAAAAAAATCTGGTTCACCATTTGTGCATTTAGCTTTTGGATGTTTCATGACAAGGCACAATGTCATCATTAGGGAAATATGGCTCTTCCCAACATGTGGGAGTATGACGTCATCTCATTTTAGAATCTGAAAACCACCTTTGTCCCTTAGTTGGTGGTTTTCAGATTCATACTCCCATGAGGGCAAGAGCCAGAGTTCCCCATCAACTACATTGTACTTTGCCATGAAATATTCAAAAGGTAAATTCACAAACGCTGAACCTGATCATTACTATTATTGACTAGAACCAAGAACTCACTATAACCCCCTTAAAATCAGTATTCATTTGAGCTTCTCTTGTCTGTATTAAATAATATTGTCCAATAGACTATGTTTTGAATAGTTCTAAGATAGTGAGGTTTGTGACCACACAAATGGAATAAGGACATGTGTTTTTTTTTTTTTTTTTTTTTTTTTTTTTGCCAAACCACCAAATTACCAAACCCTACAAAATAAACACTCAGGAATAAGAACATATGAACAAAATCATATCAAAACAATCAGACACATCTCTATAATATGATGTTTGTGTGTCTGTGCAGTCCATTCGTGAGGTGACGGGCTACATCCTGCTGGCGTTGAATGAGTTTAGCCGTCTGCCTCTGGAGCAGCTCAGAGTGATCCGGGGCAGCGCTCTGTACGAGGACCAGTACGCTTTAGCTGTGATGGTCAACTACCAGAAGGAAGGACACCGCGGATTGCAAGAACTGGGACTCACTCACCTCACAGGTTTGAACAACTGTTTCAGTGTAGGGTTGTCAGAAGTTTTGAAAATCACATACTAAAACGAGATATTAATTTGAGCAAGTATTGATACTAAAAGTACATTCACAGGACCAAAATTAACCCTTCCTGATAGATTTAGAATGATCTTGAGTTGTATCAGAACAAGTATAAGAGACTAATATGGACCTCTATGGAACCTTCCTGGACTACTGAAAGATTACACAAATATGAGGCCAAAAGAAAAGTATTGTGATTTCATTTAATGTGGAAAATCACATTATGTTGTCCAAAAAAAGATTGCTTCTTATTATCATCGTAGTATTGGAATTGGTATCAAGTATCGAGTCTAATCCTTAGTATTGAAATCAAGTTTGAAATTTTAGTATAGTGACAACACTATTTCAGTGAGATGAAAAAAAGGTTTGGCTTTCAGATTTTAGAATGTGATTGTCATAGTCAAGCAACATGTGAATTTCTGGATGAGAAAGGTTTCATCAGTGGTCATCTGGGCACTGTTTTTGGAATGAAGACATCAGTTCCCATCCAGAATTGGTGGTACTGGTCTGAGACACTTGGAATTATTTTAAGTTTTAGAATGAAACTGCCCTGCCCTTGTTTACTAGCTCACCTCTTTATGGGTACTTAAGCCCCTATTATTGTATTTTGAACTACATAGACCATGATCCTTTGCTCCTTTTCACAACAGCCCAGTCAACATAAAATTATCGTATTAGTCATAATTATTTGTCATAATGTGATTGCACCAGACTCATCGCCGTATTGCCTAGCCCTTATTTATTTCTAACCATGGCTTTCAGAGTGATGAAAAATGAGCACCGTTGCTGTAGCAATTAACAAATCACAACCAAATATTATTATGTATTTTAAATGGTCAAAAGTACTCAAAATGGCACCTATAAAAAGGAAGCTGAAGGCTATGATTATTTAAAACTTCCCATAATGTGGCAATAATTATATATGTAAAGACAAATTTGTATTACATTTAGGTTACTAAAAATATTTCCTATAGGAGTTTAACAACAACAGACTATGAAACCACAAATATTACTGTCTCTTTCTTTAAAGTCACAGTATGTAACTTTCTGGTGGTGGCACAACACCTGCATGATTCCAGAGAAACAGAAAGTTAAAACCACACTTTGGAACATTCAAATAGTAGTAAATAGTAGTAAATAGTAGTAAATAGTTAATAATAGTTGTACATAGTTACTTCTATAGTTATATACTGTGGCTTTAAAAACACTAAAAACATAAAATTCAGAAATTACTTCCACAAGAGATTTTGAAATGTATTGTAGCCATGATAAAAAAAATAAAACATAATTCTCATAAAAGCTATACCACTGAAAAAAAAAATTGTATAGATGCCAAAAACCTTATAAGAAGCAGTCTAGCCGTTTTGTTTCTTCTAAGTGGCTGCACACGTTTACATTGTCAGAGCTGAGTCTTAACTGTCTCCCACCCACACACTCTGAACACTCCCTCCTCAGATATGAACGCTCATCCACTCTCCACCTCCAACCGTCAATGATACATGATACGCATTTGTAATCTTCATAGTAAATACCAACACTTGAGAAGAATGAATCATACGCCTGTTTCGACATGTTCAATTATGCTCACGATTTGTCCTATGTCTTCCACAGAAATCCTGGAGGGAGGAGTGAAGATCATCCAAAACAAATACCTGAGTTATGCTCCGAAGGTGAACTGGCTTGACATAGTGAAGGATGGCAGCGCCCACATCATGATCCAGGACAACGGGCCGGACAGTAAGTGCTAGAACCCCACAGTGGATCTTTCACGCAATTGGAAATATATGGTACCCAAAACTGCTTTCAGACTTGTCTTTTCATTGATGAGCTATTCAACTGGTCAAGAGATTTAAAACAGTTTACATGTGTACAAAAAAAAAAATAAAAAAAAATAAAAAACTCCACCAAATCACCAGCTGAAAATAGTATATGGGGCTCAAACCTGGAAGCTGAAGTGTCTTCTACTTTATTGGATATTCAGTTGGTCCAGAGGTCTGAAAATGTCATCTGAAAAGCCAGTTGTTTGTAAACAACTATTAAGTCTATTAAATAATTATGATCCTGGACAATGGGCTGAAAAGTACATGCAAAACCCCACCAAGGCCAACATCTTGGTGAGCTATCTCGCAATTGGAAATATATGGCACCCAGACCTGAATGCAAACTTCATGTTTTCATGGCTATTTAATTGGTCCAGAGCTCTGAAACTGTTCACATCTAAGAAGCCAAAAAGCAGAAAACAAAAACAGACCTCCACCAAAGCACTGGATCTAATGCACAATCGGAAATATGCCCCACATGGATGCGAAGCTGAGTGGCATCTAGTTTATGAGCTATTTAATTGGTCCAAAGATCTGAAACTTAGCCAATTGTTTTTAAAATAGTTTTTTAATGAATCATGATGTAGGACAACAGTGCAAAAAAAACTCCTCCTACGCAACAGTTAAATATTACAATAGGGAATATAAGGTCTCCAGACCTGAATGCAAACTTGGTTGTCTTCTGGTTAAGGAGCTATTCCATGCCATTTTTTTTACTGAAAGTAGCTTACTCTACTAAATATTATCTAAAAGTCCTTTATTGCCTCCTTATAAATATTTTTGATTCCATCTGACAATCTGAATGCAATCTAGCGTAGAGTACACAGAAAGGTAGGCCTAGAGGCTAATATTTACCCTGCCAATAAAGTAGGCTATGTTTTGACCTAAACCAGTTTTACTATTACAAATGTAAAAACATGATGTTATGTATAGGCTGTTAGGTGATTAGAATATACATGAACTGCACAGATCAAGCAATAGGCTACTTATTTAGCAACCACAAGCTAATCTCTGGATGTTTACTCCTCAGAGCCCTGTCATGAAGTCTGTGGTGAAGTTGGATGTTGGGGTCCAGAAACTGACAAGTGCCAGACCTGTAAGTATAATCACAAGTGGACAAAGATTGACAATATAATACAACCTAGGCTCTGTTTCATTGGTTTGGCCAAAACACAAACAGTTAGCATTTGCAGAGTAGGCATTTTAGTTAACAGATTTTGCCATATGGGCTACATATGTTGATCATGTGTGTTTTTTTTAATGTAATATTTTGAGGACTTTTTTCTATTCAAAAGACATACTATTTAGTTTTGAGTTCTATTCAACATTCTGACTTCTAAAACCCATGGATATGTTTTTGGTGCTTATGCTCATTGTAAATATTATGTTGTTTTCTTCTATTTCAGTGACTAAGACAGTGTGCGCTCCTCAGTGTAACGGCCGGTGTTTTGGGCGCAGTCCCAATGTGTTGTCATAATGAGTGTGCTGGAGGATGCACCGGGCCACTGGACACAGACTGCTTTGTGAGTTTAGATACATTTATTAAACTAAATATCACTCATATACTCTCACCTAATCTCTACATTAGTTAGAATTATATGATGGATAGGATTTTTTCTTAATAGGCCTGTCAAAATAACAGTTTTTGATGCATTAGACATACAATATAGGCAATAAACGATAATAAAGAAACCAAAACATAAAGCAGAATGACCCTCTCAAAAGTATTTGCTTAAGTTAGTGTAAGTGTAGTGTAGAGTAAAAGAAGGCCATAATTCAATCTTCTAAATGTCAAATCTTATCTTAGTACAGAAAAATAACCAACATTTTCCCACTCATACAAAGAAGTCCCCACGATAAATATGTAAATAATTGTTCCATCTGTCATGTATTGAATGATATGTCGATATAATATTTATCATGACATGCTTCCTTCTTAATTTTTGTATCTTAAGAGTTCATTTGCAAAGTCCCATTTAAAAAAATCATTGGAGACTTGTGGTTTACTTTGTACAGTAATGTAAATGCTATCTGTATTTTACTGGAAACAAAATATTATTCTATCTCTCCTTGATGAAATCCACTCAACTCACTTCATAGATAATATGAAAATAAATATACCCCATTTTAAATATCAAAACAAGATACCTAGATTTGAACCGGTATCAATACTGAAAAATAGACCAAAATTGGACAATATTTGAGCATTGCTGAATAGTTCTGATAGGTAGCAGAAGTAGTGTAAGACCACATGATCATTTTAAAGAAACCAGTATTGTGTGTGTTGATAATTGCTTGTGTTCCTTTGATAGGCCTGTAGGAGGTTCAATAACTCTGGGTCGTGTGTTCGAGAGTGTCCTCAGGCTTTACTCTACAACAAAAACACCTTCAGGATGGAGGCCAATCCCAATGCCAAGTACCAGTACGGCTCCATCTGTGTCGCCCAGTGCCCAAGTGAGTCTGTACAGTTAGTAGGTTAGATTTGTAAGGATTATATTTGTGCTCTTTCTATTTTTGCTCTTTATCTTCTTAGGTTATTGGGCTTTATGTTATCTGTCTTGTGTCCTTTGAGCACATTTCAGAGATGACATTTTTTCACATATATACAGTATATAGTAGTAGTATGTAGTGCCAATTCATTCAGGAAGTCCAGGGCCAACAAAAATTGATCTGAGGGCTACAGTTTAGACAACTTTTCTTGACTCCTTGACTTGACGTTCATCATTTACATTTACATATATTTTATTGTAGCAAACCTTGTTGTTGATGGGAGCTCATGTGTGGTGAGCTGTCCTCCTGGAACGATGGAGGTCGAAAAGAACGGAGTCAAGAGATGCCAACCCTGCGCTGGCCTCTGTCCAAAAGGTAAAACTAACTATAGCTGTTTCTTGATAGCATTTTGATTCATCTGAAACAAGGTGTGTTTGAATCCAATAGAATTGTATGGCACAATAAAAGCCCATATGAATAAACAATGTTAGACTGTTTTTAAAAGGTTAGTATTAATATAACTATAATAATTTAGTCAAAATTCAGCCAAACAAAATCAAAGGAAATTTGCAATCAAAGGAATAACCTATATTGATAATACTACAAGAGCATTAGTCTTATGTGAAATCTATTAATGTATGTATGAATGTAAGAAAAATATTTTTTGTTTTTTTCTATCTCTAGCATGTCATGGGACGGGGACTACAGATCGGCAAACTGTAGATGCCTTCAACATCGACAGCTTCATAAACTGCACCAAGATCCAGGGCAGTCTGCACTTCCTGGTCACTGGAATCAAAGGGTGAGACTTACAACTCGTATCATCATTTTAACAATTTTTCAAGATAGAGGATTAATATCTAGCTGTGTACTAATTAAACATGCACTCTCAAGTGGGTGTATTTAAGTATGAAAATGTTAACAATGTTGACAATGTAATTAATGTATTTTACATTTTCTCAAATTTGCCACTGTAGCTGGCTTTATTATGATCATGCTCTTAACATTATATACAGTAGAAAAGTAGATAATCTTGGATCTCACATTGCTTGACCGAATTTGAAGCTTTTTGACAACAAGGGATGTGATATGATTTGACTTTTCCTTCACAAATTGCAAAATACAGGTTAAATATTAATAGCTTTCCAGTCATGATTTATTATACCAGATGCCCTTCCCTATTGGTGTCAAAGCAAAAGGTTGAGCCACTTCATTACAAGGAAGCAATATATTCATGTTGATTGTTTTCGTTTAGTGATGAGTTCAATAAAGTTCCACCACTTGATCCAGAGAAACTAAAAATCTTCAACACTGTTCGAGAAATTACAGGTACCTATTTCATACATTATATTTAAACTTAACTGTGCGAGCTTATCTAATTTATACTGAAAATACAATTTCTATTTTCAGATATTTTGAGTATCCAGTCATGGCCAGAGAACATGACTGACCTGTCCGTCTTCTCAAACCTCGAGACAATTGAAGGACGAAGTCTCTACAAGTAAACAAAATTTTTTTCTATTCGATTTAACAGTGTTGCTATTGTGTTTGGCCTTGGTCATTTTAATTTCAATAGCATTTCTCATATCTGATGGACTTGCATGTTTTTGTATCTTTTCTATGTTTGTGCTGACGTCCAGACCCATGAGCAGTAAAAGGTACAGTAACTTTTCAACTTTATTTTTAGCTCCAATTTGTTTGCATATTTTCTTTTACATTTGTTTAGGATTACTGGATGCACTTTAAGTTATAGTATATTAGTGTTTAATGGAACAGATTTTTCATTGGTTTACCCCAGGGCAGCTGTGGCAACAGAAGCAGCTTCTAACAGTGCAAGTGTGGAGTGAATGAATAATACATGAAACTGTAAAGCTGGAATCTGGAAAACTTGGAATCTGGAAAAGTGTCTGGAACAGTGCTATTTTAGACAAGGTGTTATTAACATTAAAGGGCCCATATTATGCTAATTTCTGATCTATGCTGTAATGTTGTTTCCTCATCATAAACCCAGAGTTGTGTTTTGTTCAGACCTGGAATTTCCAATCTCTACTGAATAAAAGGGAAATGTAACTTGAAAACTACTGTTTCATAACATTACCAGGTGGAACAGAGCATTTGGACTTTTGGAGAAGTAGACAGATTAATAAGGCAGGGTTGCTCAAACAGGTGTGAATGAAACAAAACATTACTCTGCATATTTTTTTGAGGCGGCAACAACATTCTAACATGACTAAAAGCTCTCAAGAGTCAATTTAACGTAATATTTTATAATATACTTTAATCAGGCACAAATTTAACTCTGCTTGTAAGTCTATTGGCAGCTAGTAGACACAGTGCTAGTATTAGGGTATTGTGAGATGTATTATTATGTAATTAGCCAGTTATTTGAGTATCTAATAGATTGACCAGTTTAGATCTTGGGTGGTTTGATTTCACTATACTTACATGCACACCCTACCCCTGCAGGAGCTACTCTCTGATGGTGATGAGGATCCCGTCTCTCACGTCTCTGGGGCTGAGGTCTCTGAGGCGGATCAACGATGGCAGCGTTTACATCACAGGAAACAAACAGCTGTGCTACCACCACACACTCAACTGGAGCCACATCTTCAACAGCAACGTCAAGAAGAGACAGAAGCTCGTCGACATCAAGGACAACTGCCCCCAAAAGACATGTGGTCAGTGGACATTATTGGATATTAGGGATTTTACATACAGGTGGAGTTATTTGGATTATTGTTCACCTCATGCTCTCTCATGAACCTGGGAATGCCTTTGGAGTGATGATAATACATTTTAGTCTTAAAGCTATTTAAATAAATAAAAGATAGAGAATTTCATACCATACTGTGTGCAACTTAAATCCACATATGAAAAGTGTGTAGAGTTACCAATTTTCCAGGATTTTTTTTTTCTTATATTTTGCTCAAGAAATTAGAGTTTTATTGAGTTTTTTTAAACTGAAGCTTTACTAGTAACCTTTAGAATAGCAAAATTCAAGTCCCCGTAGATCAATAACAACTTCAACCACTTTGCACTCTTTTCTTTTCTCCTCTTTGACCATGTTGTTTGTATATTTCTTTGTAGCTGCAGAGGGGCATGTATGTGACCCCCTGTGCTCTGATGGGTGCTGGGGCCCTGGTCCTGATCAATGTGTGTCCTGTCGAAACTACAGCCGAGGAGGAACCTGTGTGTCTGAGTGCATGTTTCTCTCTGGGTCAGTCTACAGATTTACCATCACCTTATCATGTCCTTATCGATGAGCTGTCCCTGAATCATCACTGAAGCTATTTGACTTAGAGGTGTATTAAACTGTCTGTTATCTTATAAGAATTTCTGCTTTGAGATTACATATTTAGACATAAGGTGCTTTGGGTAACTTGCATTTATTAAGTTGTAGGTTTGTTTTTAATGATACCATGCAAATAATGAAAACATGCTTTCTTAATGTGGGTGACCTGTAGTTTTGGTCTGGTGATGTCCCCTTCTTGTCTCCATATAGGTAAAAATAAGCTTTATGTCATATTTCACCTTTAACATACTGATATTTTTATATCTACTATGGTAACATTTTTGTACAATATCAACTGAAAGTATATTGCAAACAAATCTTTTTACTAATGCATGGAAAGTGACATGGAAAGTATTCACCAATAAATTATGAAAAAAACAAAACAAAAAACCCCCCCAAAAACATGACTTTAGCCCATATTGTACATTTCTGAATATCTGTCTCTTTTTTGATCAGTTTTGCATTTAATATAATTTATTTTTGGACATGTTCCTCATATAATATTTCCAGTGATACATTTTCTCATAATCCTATAGCATGTCATTTTAGTAGCGTAATTGCCATTTTTAGACTAATATTTAATTACAATCCTTGTGTGCCTCTTACACATTTATCATTAACTGTTATCATTAACTTATCATATAACTTGTTTGTATTAGAGGTGTACCGTTCAAATGACATCACACCTTTGTATAGACCAGTGGTATTTAATCTAGACTGGGGCAGGAGTAATGTCTATTGTTAATTTGCTGATTCTTTCTGGTTGGATAAATATAATGTAATAGGTCTCAAATGCATAAATGTTAAATGATTTGGTTAAACATTTGTGTATTTTCTTTTTAGTCATTTCATACATTAATTTAATATACTGTAGGCTAATATAGCATGTGACTGTCTAAGAGTCTTAGATATTTAGAATCATTTTATACTATTCATGGGTTTCAAACTGATGATAAATTAGGACCATTGCTATAGCAGTTAACAATTTAAATCCAAATGTTGCATCTTTTGAATGATATAGTCCTCAAAATATCACCTAAAGCAGGAAACTGAAACCCATGTACTTAGTTGTAATGACTGTACACTGTAGCTGACATTCACTTTTTTACACAAGCAATGTCAAACATTTGAAACTCAATTTTATTACTAAACAAATGCTTGATTCCACAAAGGTTGATAGCACAAACATAATAAATACACACTTGTTTAGTCAACAAAATGTTTGTAATTTTGAAAGGCTTTTTAGGAAAGGTCAAAATTGGTCTTATATGTGTAATTTATTTTTTTTTTTTTGCTTTTCCAGTGCCAGTACTTGCTCAAATGAGTATATAGTATTGATTAGTATCTGGGCATTGATTTTGACAGCCTCACTTCTGTTTATATCTGTTCCTTGTTGTTACTAAAGTACATTCTTTTGTTTTTCTTGTTTTTTTTCTTCAGTGAGCGTCGTGAGTTTGCAAGTTCGTCTGGGGAGTGTCTGCCCTGTCACTCTGAGTGTAAAGTGCAGGAGGGAAAAGAGACCTGCCACGGCCCGGTAAGATGATGATACCATAGAGCAGTGTTTTTCATAGTCTGAATATTAAAATTATACAAAATCACAGCTTTGCAAAAAAATGCATGGTTTATAATACCAAAAGCAGTCCATACCACTGTGTCTGGTTCTTTACATTTGGCAGTGGTGACTGTTTTACCTTCTGTTTTGGATCAGAAGTTGCTCAGAGGAATACAAAATGGTAAATTATACAATAAAATCCATGTATGAGTCAGTCAAAGCCTGAAACAGAACCTAAATACCTATTACTAAACGTAACCTTAACCTGAAAGTGAAATAACATACCGTTCAAATAAACATTTGCTCACATTAACCACCAGTACAAAGTGACTGTAGTGTGGCAAAACTGGGTTGGGAAACATTGAGCTGAATCTATCTCTGAAAAAGCTACGAGCAGAAATGCATGATACAAATCATACCGTGCTTTTGTGCTCTGCTGCCTCCTAGTGGCGAAATAGTCAACACTGTCGTTTGGTTTGGTGCACGGCAGAAATCACTGTATAGATTTTCTCAAAACATCTGCGTCTAAATCATATTGGAAGGATAAAAAAAATCAATTTTCTTTTTTTTTTTTTTAAATGTGGTGCACAAACCCTAGGTTAGTGAGCAATCACAAAAAAAGGCTAAATAAATAGGATATAGTCTAAATAAGGACTAAATCAGTTTTGAATTAAAGTCATTATATTCAGATTTTCAAATAATTTGTATATGTTTGTAATAGTTTATAAGTTTGTATTTAGACTTTGAACATTTCTTTGTTAATGCTTAAAGATTTCTCCACTTGTACTAGTACATTTCTTTTACTATTTTTACTTTTCTCCTTTGCCTGCAGGGGGCAGACCAGTGCGTGTCCTGTGCAAACTATCAGGATGGCCCTCACTGCGTGCCCTCGTGCCCTCAGGGGCTGATGGCTGGAGAGGGTGTCATCTTTAAATACCCCAACAAAGCGGGTAGCTGTGAGCCCTGCCACTCCAACTGCACCCAGGGGTAAGAAGAACACATAACAATGAGGGACATGACAGTGGAGAGTTGCGGTTGTGGCAAATTAAACATCATATTTTTGTCTCTTTGCAGATGTTCAGGTCCAGGACTCAAAGACTGCATTGGGATGGCAACGTAATTGTTCATCATTTTCTATAATATGAAACATGTTTTAGATAATCATATTCAGTTCCATGTGTTTGTGTCGCACACATTAAACCAAAGCACAAACCCTTACAGTTTAGACTGAATTTAAATCTATAGTTGAAAGTTGTGTAAAGATGTCATAATCTCAGATGATGGGCAAGAGCCTGTATGTAACTCGATGGGATATTTACTGTTTGTGAAAGGAATATCCAAAATACAGAAATACACAAACCTTTAACCTTATCATTATTTCTTAGGGACCACAAACAACCTGACAACAATCACGCATTTGGGACTGATTAATGGCACTTCATAATTCCATTTTTGTTTCTTTATGCTCACAGGGAAAATGTTGAACTTATGCCAGTTTTTGTTTCATGTAGATGGGCTCAACAATTAGATACATTACCCATAAACTAGTTCAATAAATCTGCAAATTGACAGTTAAACCACAAATTCTAACATAGAATTATGACCTATCCTTCGGCTCACTTTTAAACCATTTGAACATAACCTGTTAGCTAAAGTCATATCTTTATTTTACTGAAGCAAAATAAATAAAGCAAATCCAAAACTCCACTATTTCCTCTCTCCAGTCTGAACATCACTGCGATCGTCCTCGGGGTCATTGCACTGCTGTTCGTTGGCTTCTCTGTCTTCGTTCTCACGGTTTTGTATCGTCGAGGTCTTGCCATCCGTCGCAAACGGGCCATGAGAAGATACATGGAGAATGGAGAGGTCAGAGGTCAAACAGGGGTCAAACCAGGAGCAGGTCAGAATGTTTGTTTTTTAACGTGTTTTGTGTTTTTTCTTCAGAGATTTGAGCCGCTGGACCCTGGAGAGAAAGGACCTAAAGTCTGCGCCCGGATCTTGAAGCCATCTGAGCTCAGGAAAATCAAGCCTTTGGGGAATGGAGTGTTTGGAACAGTGCATAAAGTAAGACTCACTGTTGTCACTTAAAGTGTTTGAAATTCAATATTTATGACTCTTCTTGGGATTTTGGTTTGAAAAAATAATTATTATGATCACAATGCACATTTCAAACATTTTCTGTAGCGAAAACTGAATAGCTAAACTAATACAAAAATCACCTGCATTTCCTGACACCTTTGTACAGGTCTAAGGTTCATTGGTATCATTCATAATGACATAATGAGATAATTTGCTGTAACTGCTGCGATTATGTAACTACGACCAATTGTATCACTTTGTGATATGGATTTGTTTTTGCTCTTTCAGGGGGTGTGGATTCCTGAGGGGGACACAGTGAAACTTCCTGTGGCCATAAAAACCATTCATGACAGAACAGGACGACAGACTTTCTTTGAGCTCACAGATGTAAGGAAACATTCAATACAGCCATAGTGATACTAATAACAGTAGTTGTAGCAGCACTTTACTGGAGTTATTAGCAAATCTGAATTGGGTTTACAGCCTTTCAGAATTCAGAATAAGTTTTAATAATAGCAAGCAGAGATGGGACCAAGTCTTTGTTTTGCAAGTCTCAAGTAAGTCTCAAGTCTTTGACCTCAAGTCTGAGTCAAGTCCCAAGTCAAATACAGACAAGTCCAAGTCGAGTCTCGAGTCACTGGCCCATAAGTCCAAGTCAAGTCCAAGTCGTCTGAGTTGAGCTTCAAGCTTTCATTTCAATTCTTTAACCCAATTGTACAAGAGTACATAAGAGTTGTAGACATGAATTTTGTAAATTTTTCCTTTTTAAATGTCTTGACAAGATCTTAGTGTGAATCATTATGGTCAAAATAGAAGTAATTCAGATTTAAAGTGCTTCTCAAGTGTTCTCAAGTCACGGGCCTCATGTCCGTGTCAAGTCCCAAGTCATTGACCTTCAAGTCCAAGTTGAGTCCCGAGTTTTGGTCCATTTTATCAAGTCAAGTCTCAAGTCCTAAAAATTGTGACGCAAGTCTCACTCAAGTTCAAGTAACAACTTGCAAGTTCCCACCTCTGATAGCAAGTACTTTATACAGTAAAAAAGTTAATTTGAGTATTTACACTTTCATTCATCTTATGTTGTCAAAAAATGTTTACATTTTGATGTTCCTTCAAAGCATGCATAATAATGAAATAAAAGCAGATCTTCAGACCCTATGATGCCAACACATATTGTATCTGTCTACAGCACATGATGATGATGGGGAGCCTGGACCACATAAATGTGGTGCGGATCCTGGGTATCTGCCCCGGGGCAGGTTTGCAGCTGGTGACTCAGCTCAGCTCTCAGGGCTCTCTGCTTGAGCATGTCCGAAAACACAGGAACAAACTCACCCCTCAGAGGCTGCTCAACTGGTGTGTGCAGATCGCCAAGGTGAGGAACCATGGAGCCAGAAGTATGTTTCTTCTATACACAGTTTTAATAGTGGAAGTTGACTATAAACTAATATTGATAGGTCTTGACAGGTATGAATTACTGCAGTAATGATGTTTAAGATTGTTAGTAGTATTACTGATAGTAGTAGCAATAGTAGCCATAACAGTGGTTGAAGTTGCAGTAGTAATAGTAGTTATTAGGGGTGTCAAATTATCGCGTTAATTGCGATTAATTAATTACAGTCTTATTTAGCGCGTTATGTTTTTTAATCGCGTTAATCTCATTTTTAATCTCTAACTTTAGTGTTTCTGTATGCGAGTTGCTTTATTATAAAACCTGTTTTTATGTGTTGTTGGGACAACAACACACACACACAAAACACATTTATACATTTTTTTATTTCGGTAATTCCACTCATTGCCGGAAACCCACACAAAACGCGCGCAGTAAGAGCGAAGTAAACGTCATGTTAACGTTGGCGGCGTCAGTCGCACAGTGGACGAGGTCGTAGAGCCAGTAGAACAGAGTCAGCAGCGCACAGGTAAAAACACATTCGTGTCTTGGAAATTATTCTCCCGACGTGAAATATAAAAGAAAATAACTAATATAATATCGCCTACAACTTAAACGTCACTGGTGAAAACAACCTGCATAGACTCATGATGTCTGCACTACTGTCCTATAGTGACCTGCCACATGAGGGGACACGCACACAAACACACACACAAACACAAACATACACCTTCATCATCGTCATTAACCTGAGAACGCGCGGACCACGTTTCCTTCCGTAGTTACTGCGCGGACACCGACGTGCTCCCGTGCGCCGCGTGTGGATCGTGTTTTCTCGAGTAAGCTGCGTAAACCGCGCTTCCTCCTGTGCGCCTCTAAACCAGAACTAACACCAAGACTAAACCAGAACTAAAACCAGAACTAAAACCAGAACTAAAACCAGGTCTAAACCAGAACTAAACCAGAACTAAAACCAGAACTAAAACCAGAACTAAAACCAGGACTAAACCAGGACTAAACCAGAACTAAAACCAGAACTAAAACCAGAACTAAAACCAGGACTAAACCAGGACTAAACCAGAACTAAAACCAGAACTTAAACCAGAACTAAAACCAGGTCTAAACCAGGACTAAACCAGGACCAAACCAGAACTAACACCAGGACTAAAACCAGGATTAATCCATTCCAGGACTAAACTAGGACTAAAGTAGGACTAAAGCAGGTCTAAACCAGGACTAAAACAAGGACTAAAACCAGTGATCTCATATATAAAGCATTTCTCTATCAATAATATTTTTAATATGGTTAAGGAAAGACTGGACTTTTTATTGTATTTAAGTAGACAAAAGTTATTATGTTCAGATTTCCTCGTCTTTGCTACTTTACAGCAAACAGTTTCTTATTCATGGAGACTTGGGCTCAACAGCCAATTTGGGGAGATTTGTTAAACAATAAATTACTTTATAAAGTAACTTTTTTTTGTTCTATATCAGTCTTTTGATCTGCCACAATAATGTAATAATGAATTTAAATGAAAATACCTCAAATTGAATGCTTTTCTCAGCTATTTTTAGGTGAGATTAAAATTAGATTAATTAGATTAATTAATTACAGATCATAATTAATTAATCTCTCAATTTTTTTAATCGCATGACAGCACTAGTAGTTATAACTGCTGCAATAGTGGGAGTTGTAACAGTGGTTGTTGCTGTTGTAACAGGATTATTAGTCATAACAGGAGTAGTGGTAGTAGACCTAATAGTACTTTATCAGTTGTAGTGGTAGAGCCCAAAGTGTAAGTGGTTGATTTTGCCTTAGAAATATTAAGATGTAAAATTAGTAGTGTTTTTAAGGTAACAGTGGGGCTATGTTTTCTATGTATTTTCATGCTCCCCCTGTGTTGTCCAGGGCATGTATTACCTGGAGGAGAACAGGATGGTGCATAGAAACCTGGCAGCTCGAAATGTGCTCCTGCGAAACAACTACACGGCTCAGATCTCAGACTATGGAGTGGCCGACCTGCTCTACCCTGATGATAAGAAGTACTACTACAATGAGGCTAAGGTGGGGGACATGCACAGTTATTATTTTTTATATATATTTTGAATGTATTTATTTAAGAAATAAGGAAGGGAATGTGCTGAAACCAGTCACAAATATTCTTAACAAGTCAAATAATGTCCTTTTATTGCCATGTAAACAACAACTTTTAAGCATGTTTTTTTCTTTTTAGACTCCGATCAAATGGATGGCCTTAGAGAGCATCCTCTTCCGTAGATATACACACCAGAGCGATGTCTGGAGCTACGGTGAGATTTACTGTGTTATAAATCAGTGTTTAGAGTTTTGTCATGTTTTGGGCTGTTTTTTGTTTAGAAAGTACTGTAGTCATTATGTAGTCTTATTTGAGACCTATTAGGTACTCTGTATGAAAAGTTTGAGAACTACTGCTATAAATGAATGAATGATTGAATGCTTTTTCTCATTGCTGTGTGTCTCCCATCCAGGTGTGACGATCTGGGAGATGATGTCTTATGGGGTGGAGCCATACACAAACATGCGTCCACAGGAAGTGCCCGACCTCCTGGAGAAAGGAGAAAGACTTTCACAGCCCCAAATCTGCACCATTGACGTTTACATGGTCATGGTCAAATGTGAGTGTTATTTTAACTTTAATCTTCCTCCGTTTGTTTCTTTAGTTGAAGAGTAAATTTTTAAATCTCACTACAAAATGATAACCATGTATTTGCCACTCTATCAGGTTGGATGATCGATGAGAATATCAGACCCACATTCAAAGAATTGGCCAGTGAATTCACCAGAATGGCCAGAGACCCACCTCGATACCTAGTCATCAAGGTAAAGGTCATTCATAGAGAATATGCAGTGCCCAGGTCCCGTCAGCCAGAGGGGTTACATGTTTGACTGTTATGTTGTCTATTTGAAAAAGTCATGCACATCAGCACTGTGCCCTCTATACATCAGTGCACACCACACACTCTTTATATCCACCAATCCTGTGAATTCTGTAGTGGCATTTTATCTGAGTGAGCCTTATAATAAGGTAAATGTCTCTCATTGTCCTGTCACTTATTTCAGTCACATGTGCAGAGTAATCTACAGTCCAACACCCCCTGTGATAAAGGTTTTGTCTGCCTCTGCAGATTAAACCACCTAGCCTTAAAGTGCTATATTAGAAAAAAAACAAAAAACTAAAGAACTAAACCAAACAAGGACTAAACTAGGGCTAGAACAGGACCAAACGAGGTTTACATCATAACTTAACTGGGCTCAAACCAAGATGAAACCCAATAGTCGCACTCACCCTTAAAAATCCTGTGTGTTGTGTCTCAGGAGGACTGCTCTCAGCCTGACTCGGCTTTAGATGAACAGGCTCAGCGCAGTGTGGACCTGGATGAGCTGGAGGAGCTGGACTTTGCTCTGGACCCTGAGGAGGATCTGGACACAGTCTCTGTTTCTCCCCCCCAATATCTGCCCCAGTCTGTCCCGCCTCTCGCGCGTGGACAGGGTAAGCAGTACTCACCATAGTCACTCTAAAAACAAAAAGAGACATGTGAAACAAAAACTGGCACAACACTGAATGTCTCATCTGTCAGTATACATAAACAATAGCCATTGTTAGTATCATTATTCAACTTAAGTTTTTGATTACAATTAGTGTAATATAGATGTATCAGTTTCAAAATATCATTACCAAAGAGGTGAATCTATATTTTTGTTTTATTTTTTTGTCTATCTGTCTCACAGGACTTTACAATTATATACAAACAAAATTGCACATGTTGTTGCATTATCATATTATTGCATACTCTATAGATTGTATTGTATTGTGAGTAACTCACAATACAATACAGCTCTAAATACAGGTTAGAGTGTGCCAGTAGAGGTGCTATTTTTAGAGAGACTGATATTAATTGTTACCTCCGCCAAGGAGGTTATGTTTTTGCTGGCATTTGTCTGTTTGTTTGTTTGTTTGTTTGTTTGTCTGTTAGCAACATAACTCAAAAAGTTATGGACCGATTTTGATGAAATTTTAAGGATTTGTTGGAAATGTGAAAAGGAAGAACTGATTTCATTTTGGGAGTGATCCGGAAGAAATCCTGGATTCTGGATCACTTTGAAATTTTAGTTAACATTGTGGTAAATGGGGCCAAAAAGTTTGTTTCTCAATATCTCGGTTAATTATTGACCAAACCCCATGAAATTTCACTCAGGGATGGACAATGGGATCCTCTTTCATATTCCAAAGGCTGATCCGGATCTGATCCAGAAGACTGATTTTATCGCAATTTATATAAAAAATGGGGATAGTCCTTGGCAGAGGTCTGCGCTCTCTGAGTGCTTTTCTAGTTACTCATGTTATACTCAGAAGCTATATTCTTTTTCCAGGTGCAGATTCCAACAGCTGGTGAGACTGGTTATCTCCCTATGACCCCTGGAGTGGATGTCAATGCACAGGTATGAGAGAAACTATTTACTCTTATATATTATGCCAGGGCTGTCCAAGGATTCTAATCGTTACTACAAGTAGAAACGTTGTATCATCTACAAAACAAATTTTAACCAGTGTGAACTGGAGCAAGCTGTTTTTAAAATATTTATCTAAAAACATTACTTAAGTTACAATGGTAGTACCTTTATGTTTCCTCTACAAACAGATTAACTTTTGACAGTACTTAAATGATTGTTCAAATAATTTTTACTATATATATATATATTTTTTTTAACTTACAAATACTTACAATAAATCAGTCACATTGATTTACAATATGACAAACAGTGTGAGTTTGAGTATTTTTGTTTAAATAACCCATATTACACTTATTTTCTGATCTATGTTATAATGTTGTTTCCTCATCAAAAACATACTTGGAGTTGTGTTTTGTTTCATTCACACAGGTTTAAGACCCAAACCTTGCATATTTAGGCTGAAGGAAAACACTTTGTTCCAACATGTAATGCCGTGTACATAGAGGAAGTGCTCCACTCCACGTTCACTAGAATCATTTCCATAATTTTAGCTCTGCTGAACAAAAGGTACCAGACAGATGCTAACTAGAAAACTACCAGTACACGATGTTACAAGGTAAAACAGAGCATTTTTAGCTTTGGAGATGTAGATATAGATAGATAGAGTGAAGAAAGCACAACTTCAGGTATGTTTTTGATGAGGTGAGGGCAATATTCTGACACTGATTAAAGCTCACAGGAGTCACTTGTAATATGTACTTGTAATATATGATGTAATATTGGATCTTTAATTTAGAGACAAATCTATTCATGTTTTCCTTCTTTGGGTTCATTATTATTTTTAAACCATTTGAACCACCATATTTGGTGTGAAACGCTTGAGTGCCATTGGTCTACATAACGTCTCCTTGTGTTGTTTTTCAGTCTCTGTTCCAGTCCCGCTCGCGTCAGGACTCCACTCGGACAGTTTCAGAGAGCTCGGAGGGCGGTGGGGGGGTGGTGGAGCTGGAGAGTGAGGATGTGTCAGTAGGGAGCAGTCTAAAACAGAGGAGGCAGAGAGAGGACAGCGCCTACATGTCTCAGAGGGACAGTCTGTCAGGGGGGCCAACTGAGACCCCTTCTCCTGAACTAGAGGAGGAGGACGACAATGGATATGTGCTGCCACGGGACAGTCCGGAGAGAGGTGACTTTTAATCTATTTTTATTTCAAAACTTTACTTTAACTACTTGACAAGTTAACAACAACACAGTTATTCGAAAACGTATTTGTGGAATTGCTTGTGTTTCTATGAGGATGCACCGGTCCATCTTTTTCAGTTCTGATAATGATAGTGATATAGTTTCTGATACTGTTGCTTATAAACCAGTGCAGAGACTGAAAACTGCATTTATTTCCTTCAAACAAAAATACATAACTGATGCAAATGTGTTATGTGGTTGTTCTTTATCTCTCAAGTAACTACAGAAAAACTTTGTCTAAATTAAAGTTCTTCTGGGCCGACTACGACCAGTAAATAGCCTCATTACATCAATTTATATGTCCGACAGGATATCGGATGAACCAATATTTTGAAGCCAACATCCGATTCAGCAAATTTTTCATTATCTGGGCTGATATCTGATACCAGTATTGTATCGGTGTATCCCTAGTTTCTGTAGGGTTGAGTTATTATTACATACTTATTTTCAACTTTTGTACTTTTTCAGTCTGTCTCCATAGACATTTATCCAATCAGATAATTTAATAATACTATGAAATTGAACCTACTGGATTTAGGACTTGGCAGACACATACATTTTATCCTTGCCCATTTTAAGAGCATTCTTTCTTTGCCAAAAAAGAAAAAAAAATCTTAACAATTTTGCTTCAGCCAGAAAGTAAGTATTGTAAAAGATTAACAACATTCAGTCTTAGAAACATGGTGGTCCTGGATGAACCAGCTTGAACTCTGGGGTCCTGACCACAGTATACGATATTTTGTATTATATTATGCTATGCTATTATGCCCAAAATGTATTTCAAGATGTATTTCGCTTGTTTTCCAGACACTTTGCTCTCTCCACCACGCGGCCTCTCCATCAAGTCCATCAGAAATTACCCATCAGCCCCTCTCCTGGACGACCCAGACGACACTGAATACGAATATATGAACAGACAGCGATCTACAACTTCAATCCGCAACAGCAGCCAGCGCAGTAAAACCAGCAATAAGAAAATACGTACCTCTTCTTTGTCATCATATGCAACTACCAGCTCTGGAGACATCACACCTACTCCAGAACTTAGAGGCTCTTTCAATGGACCAGACTTGGACCAGTTTGGGTCTAGTGAAGTCCAGTATGAATATATGGATATAAGAGGGAATGGCGACTCCCCACCTACTCATGACCCACCTCCTCCTCCCCCAAAAATTGATATTGATGAAGACGATTATGATGAAGATTACCACTACACAAACCGACAACCCAAGCTTCACCAAGCACTGCAAGATCGAAACCAATTCAGGATAAAGGGAGCAGAGGAAGAGGAGCAATACGAAGATATGGATTCCTATACAGTGATGCGGAGAGGTGATGCGGTGGTCTATCAAAATTTAGGTAGAGAGGGGCCAAGTTTGGAGGGCAGTAGGAGCGGATTTGATGCCTATGTGAAGGTGAGAGCAGGAGTTGGGATCGGAGATGCAGCTTCGGTTGATAGATCATTTGATAATCCCGATTACTGGCACAGCAGAATGTACATGAAGAGCAAAGCGGTGCCCACATGAAGAAAACTGTTAGAAAACCTGTTAGGGAAGGATCAGTGGTTAGTTAGGCATCCTTTATTTCTTGTTTATAGTGAGGACGAGGTAAAGACAAGTTCTCATGGGCAGAGGATGGGGATTTGGCCAGTGCACTCTCATAGCCATTTAATAAAACATACAAACTCACCTAAAATGTTCAAATGGCACGACAAAGTATCTAAAATGTCATCTTCCAAAGGCATTGAAGGATATGTCAAGTGTAGAGTACTTAATCAATATGGGCACACAACTGTACCTATACCTGGCAAAGTCATACAGTCACTGCAAAAAGGTTTGATTCTTGGGTGAAAATTATTCAACTCATTCAACCATGTTCTTGGTTTATATCTCACCTGCCTGATTGTGAAACCATATGCACAGAATATCTGCCACTCCTCTGTCATTCTGCTCCTATATTAGTGAAAGATGAATACAGGGTAAAGAACACCAAGAACATGAACACATAAATAAAATTCAATAAAAAACACTCCACTCCCAAGGAAAAGAAGCAAGGATGCAGACTTAACTTCTTTGAGCCCTGGACCCTGTGTCTCGCCACTGAGCTGTATTAATGAAGGACTAAAGCTGGAAATGCAATCCAAACCAAGCCGATAATGTAGCTACACATTTTTACTCAACAATGTACATAGATTTATTTTCTTTATGGACTGACAGTATCTTTTATATTATACAGGTGGACAACGGGCATTTCCCAAACTAACAGCACTGAGTTGTGACACTAATAAGAGATGTACCAAGCTATTTTTGTGTGTTGTTTACAGAAAGAAATGAACAACAATATGTCTTTGAAGAACAAATGAATTTTTAACTTGTTTATACAGTGTATTTTGTTCACAAATGTTTTGTATTCAATAAAGTATTTTGAATATGGAGTTTGATTAATTTATATATTTTTATAGGATTTGAAACCCATACAGTAATAGCTTAAGCATATACATGCATCTTTACTGTGATTTGAGTAAAATAAAACTTAATCTTTCACATTAATATGGAGGTTCACAAAGTAGGCTAGGTTCTGTGTTCATTTTTGGTTCTATGTTTAGTCTATCTTATAACTTGTGGTAAGGCCTACCCCGCTTACAAGCGTAAGTTACCATGTTTTGTAAACAAATACTTCTACTCATCCAGTCAAGGCTTTTTTGATATAGTGTTTTTGAGTGCAGGTCATAGTGAGAGATACATAGGCCTACATCTATTATATTTGAATAGATCCAAGACATACATACACTATATGACCTGTACATATTTAAATTTGACTGGGCTACCTGCAAAGGTCTGCGAAGACTGCAAGCTCTGCATAAATGTAACTTGTTAATTATACCAAATTCACATAAATAGACAATATAAAGCTGAGCTATTACAACATTGGGATTTCAAAGATGAACTCATTGAGACAGAAATTTTGGCGCGTACATTTGTCTGACGTTCATGTGACGCGATGCCTCTCACCCTGGGCGTGGCTTGTGCGGCGCTTGGCGGACGCACGCTGCTCGCACGTACTCACGTTGTCGTAGCGGCGCGGGTTAGCGTTAGCATTAGCATCAGGCAGAAGGCGAGAGAGGCTGCTGAAACTTCACTGCCAACATGTCTGACGATGAGCCAGAGCAGACCATCGCCGAGGATCTGGTGGTCACGAAGTACAAGATGGCGGGAGAGATCGCCAACCGTGAGTAGAGTTTGTTTGACAGCGTGGCGGAACATTTAGCTGAGGGACTCGGCCTCTGGGCACCGACCTACGGCACCATGTGGTTCATGCAAGGCGCTCATATGTGACACTGAGCGGCTACAGCTAGTTAGCAGGTGCTGTGCTCTAACTATTCTTAATTAATCAACCAGGACAATCAAGTCTTCCCTGTGGGGATCTAAACAGGGGTGTCATTAAATAAAATTGTGAAAAGTGACATTAGCCTGTTGCCCAGTAACCGAATTATAGTAGTATGTTGAATCAGAATCTGAATAAGTTCTGTTACCATTGTCAGTGGGAAAAAAATCATAAACTACAAATTTTCTTCGGCAATATGGTGAAACATAAAACAGTTAATTATACTGATAGTAATTATAATAAAACAAAGGTATGCTAACAGTAAGGTAGTAGATAGAAATAAAAAGAAAAATTAGAAAAAATTTCAAATCCAGTACAAATAGATGAAGTATTGTTGAAATGAGTTATTTAATGTGACAGGTGTTATAAAGTGTTCATGAATCAGCAGTGCAAAACTCACTTGTCAGAAAATAACAGCCCTACATAGTAATATTAAAAAAGTCATTCTTCAACAGACTCAACGAGTTGTGTAAAAGCTGGGATGCTGATAATTTAATAGTTGGTGAAGTTTTGTTCTCCACCCAACAAATGATTTGGAAAACCACCTGCTCCTGTCTTCTGCATCCTAATCTGTCACACCATTTTCATGTCCATTTTGACTATCTTTGAACCCTCTCTAGTATACTTTGCAGCATCCACTCTCAGCATTCCTCCAAACATAGATTCACACTCTTTTTTTGTTCAATGCTATATAATCAAATTGGTCTACCTGACAGTTATTCTCCTAAAATTATCTTATCATGAGCTGCCTCTCTGGTGAACTCATTTGTAATTCTGTTCAGTGTGTTCTGAACCAATGGAACTTCAACATTCACATAAATAATGACCTCATATACTTTTGTCTGGGAATTCATGTGTTTATTGGTCAGTGAGGTTTGTTACACAAGAAAAATGGGGACATTACACCAGGCACACATACACAAGAACATTAAATACAGTATAATACAATTGCAACCTATTCTATTTTGCATTATTTTATACCTGTTAATTTACTTGTATCTTACGTTCTGTCTTTTTTTCATGCAGGAGCACTGAAGTTGGTTGTGGATGCAGCCAAGCCTGAGGTGTCAGTGCTCAGCCTCTGTGAGAAGGGAGACGCCTACATCAATCAGGAGACTGCGAAGGTCTTCAAGAAGGAAAAGGAGATGAAGAAAGGTGCATATGTTGTTTCATAATATACCTAAAATATATTAAGAGTTAAAACTATTTTGCGGTTTATTGGGTGTGTATGGGATTGCATCTTATGCAATCACTTTGCTTGATAAATGGATTGGAGGATTCAGGGACATTTTTATTAGTTGCAGAATTAAACCTGTCTGATGCGAATTGCAGTAAAAACAAATATGTCTATGTCACCATAACACTATTATAACACACATTTACATTAACTGTTACACTACCAACTAATGTAAAATAAATATTCGTGTAATATTTCTGTATCACATTAGCAAGTATTTTTTGTAAATAAAACACATGTTTGGTTTATGCAGGTACTGCCTTTCCCACCAGTGTATCAGTCAATCACTGTGTCTGCCACTTCTCTCCTCTGAAAAGTGACCCCGACATCATCCTGAAGGATGGCGACTTGGTCAAAGTGTAAGGAAACCAGACATTTTCTTTTAAATTGTTATGACTTCTATACAACATTTTTGCCAAATTGTATTTATTTTTGTGTATGATCTATACAATGCCACAAACTGTAATCATGAATAATAAGTCTGAAGTCTTCAGATAATTACTTGCTATTATTAGCCCTTGCACTTTTATCCTAAATTCTCTTGGCACTCTCCTTGTCTAGTCCATTTAATTTAGATTAAACTGTTGCTTCTATGAATTCACAATGAGTCCTTCCATACAAATCATATTACTCCTTGGGACTCCTTGGATTTAGTGTTCATTCCACTTAAGTCCTGTCTAACTTTTTGTTTGCTCTTAAAATTTACTGTCGATGAATATTATCCATTTTCTTAAACGCAGAGATCTGGGGGTTCACGTTGATGGCTTCATTGCTAATGTAGCTCACAGCTTTGTTGTTGGAGCCAGTAAGGTAATTTGTTTTTGCATTTTTGTAATAATTGACAATCTTTATCAGAAACTCAGTCTTAATCTCGCTCTGGCCCTTTCAAGGAGAACCCAGTCACAGGCCGTAAAGCTGACGTCATAACTGCTGCTCATCTGTGTGCAGAGGCAGCTCTCCGCCTCGTCAGACCAGGAAACCAGGTACATTCAGACACAAAGCACACTGTAGCATACAACACTACAACACTAATATTAGTATTATCTGTAAAACCTGAAACTGCTCATTATTCCACTTTTTACTTCGTCACTTGCCCAGTTTATTGTGACATGACATAATGTTTATCAAGTATGTCTTAATTTTAAAAAGTTCAAGTTGGACTTCAACCATTATTGACTATATTGATAGATATTCAAATTTAATGATGATGAATTGTATTTATAATGCAATAAACCAATAAAACTTAATGTTCTGAATACAAACAGTACATATTTTAATCATTGCAATTTAACACAGAAATGTTAAATAGCCGCAGACCTCTCCATTAAAAGCACCAAGCTGATCATTGGCGATAAGAAATGCTTGTGATTCAAGTTCTGTCAGTTGCATGCTGTTACCAACCATTTTGTGATATGCTTTTAATAATTTTGCTGCCCTTTTTCTCAGAACACACAGGTGACAGAGGCCTGGAATAAGATCGCCAAGTCATTCAAATGCACTCCCATTGAAGGTAAAGTGAAGAGTAGAACTACAATGGTAGTTAAGTAGTTGGTTATACAACTTATCATTTGTGTTAATTTTACAGGTATGCTTTCCCATCAACTTAAGCAACATGTTATAGATGGGGAAAAGACCATTATCCAGAATCCAACAGACCAGCAAAGGTACAATTTGGGCAGCTCTTATTAAAGGATTTCTTGCTCTTAAAGATGATGAATGTTAATCGATAAATAATATTTCCAGGAAGGACCACGATAAAGCAGAATTTGAAGTTCATGAAGTCTATGCTGTCGATGTGTTGATAAGCACTGGAGAAGGAAAGGTTGGTGACAGTATTGATGATAGTAATTCTAGTTTTAAAGGTGTACAATGGAACATTTCTGGTTGAGATGTGAATATGTGTTTTTCAAGGTGTTAGTTTTGCTATAAAAACATTTTAATAGAAAACAAAATCAAGTTTAATGGCATACTACAGAACAATAACATCTTCCTGGAGACAAGCAGGTGACGGACCACCTATCAGAAATGTTACATAGTGCACCTTTTAAATTAGTGGAAAACTTTAAAATTAATCTTTTATCTTTTTCCTTAGGCCAGAGATGGAGGTTTGAGAACCACGATCTACAAAAGGGACCCCAGTAAACAGTACGGCCTGAAAATCAAAACCTCTCGGACGTTATTCAGTGAAGTGGAGCGACGCTTTGACACCATGCCCTTCACTCTGAGGTAAAGCACACATTACAAGTCATAAATTGTTATATATTCTGACTTGAGGATACATTAGCCTTTGTATTTCCTGTAATATAACTTGGAATAACATGTCTTGGAAATTGAATTAAATCTGTATCTGATGGAGATAGGTTAGTAGTTGGTTAAAATTCTAAATTGTGTGGGTGAGTAGTGCAGTTTTTTCCCCCGTGGCATGATTATTCTGGTGTCCACTGAAGGTGTATGTAGTTGCGCCTACTACCAAAAAAAAAAAAAATAGGCTCCTCCTGAAAATGTTATTGCAAATCTCAGTGGGACATCCCAGGTCAAATAATAAAGGTCATTTGAACATGGTCCCATGTTATGTGTTATATGTTAATAGTATTTTTATGTCTTGCTCCTTCAGGGCATTTGAGGATGAAGGAAAAGCCCGTCTCGGAGTGGTGGAGTGTGCCAAACATGAGCTGCTACAGCCCTTCAGTGTGCTCCATGAGAAAGAAGGTATGTTTATGGAATTATTAAAGCATGTGTGTAAATTAATACATGATGCTCTTATTGAAAAATAAATAAATTAATAAAACAAATAGTCGAAGACACTGAACTTAATGTCACCTCATAATGACATAACGTCCTGTGTCTTTGTTTTAACAGGAGAATATGTTGCCCAGTTTAAGTACACTGTGCTGCTGATGGCGAACGGCTCTCACAGAATCACCTCTGGACCGTTTGAGCCAGATCTCTATAAATCTGAGCTCGAGGTCCAGGATGCAGACCTAAAGGTACAAATGTATTCAAAACTGAGTGAAAAAATGGAACAGAAAGTTGCTCTGAAGTTGGTAATATTGATTTTTAAAAAGATCTAAACATATTTAAAATGAGGAACAGAAATGCACATTTCAAATCTGCAGGACCCAGTCTCACTTCTCCACAGCTAAATTTAAATTTAAAGTCAAAGGTTATCGGAGAGCTAATTTTAGAATCTTTACCATTTGGGCAGAACTTTAAAATGTATAAGAGATCAAGTAGTACTTGAAATAGTTGAAAAATAAGGTATTTTGTTAGTGATATGCCTATTATCATGCAAGGTCTGACTGAGTGACCCATATCCACCCTTGTCTCAAGGTAGCTTGGTTTTAAGCTGTAGGATCATACAGAAAAATCCCGCACACCGTCTTACTTGCAAATTGTGAAATTTATTAGGACAAACCGTGCCACGTTTCGGCACTAGGCCTTCGTCAGGCAAACAGAATGAGAGCTCAGGTGGCCATCTTAAATAGGGTGTGGCAAGCACCCAAGGGTGACAGGTCATAAAGAAACAGTGCACACAAAACCCCATAATTCAAAAAACAAAGACGGTCAACATATAGTGTTATAATAATACAAATAATAATAATGAAATCATCATATAACGATCATAGAATAATATTAGAAAAGTAAGAAGAATATATGGATACATATAGACATAGTATACATTCACCCAACTATAAAATAATGTTGTCGTGCCATATACACATCTATATATATACACAATGACTCTTAAGCTGTAGCCCATATACAGCCCACCCAAAACGAGAGTCCTAATGATGGAAACTAATGTCCACAAGAAGATGCTAAGATTAAAATCGAGCTGTAGGATCATAGAATGACGAATGTATCAATGTCTTGCTGCATTGTTGTGTAAAAAGAATAATCAATTTAAGAGATTTTTTTGCCTCTTACAGGCGCTACTACAAAGTTCGGCAAGCCGCAAAACACAGAAAAAGAAGAAAAAGAAGGTAAAAGTTGCACTATTTGTATCTTGTATTAAAGATATATTTGAATTAATTTTGCACTCTTGGTAATAATACTTACATTTGCACTTTCAGGCCTCAAAAACCGCAGCCAATGCAACTGTACAGCCATCTGATGAAACAGAAGCAGCTGAATAACCTGCCTTTTGGAAACCTGCCAGACCCAAGAACAATATTATATTATAATATTGATAATAAAGTTCCCTCAACTTTCTACAAGCCACAAGTTTCAATAATTAAAAGGTTGAATTTATACAAAACTGGAATTTGTTGTTGAACTTGACCAAGATGTTTTACGTATTTCTGAAACATTCCCCTATCGTGTCATTAAAATAAGATGTTTTTTTTTTTTTTTTCTTAAGCAGAAAGACTGAAGGGAGTTGTTAACATGATGAACCTAAAACTGGTGCTATCATTACGATAAATATGTAGGACATTGATTTCTGGATTTTATAGATTATTTAAATGAAATGAAAACCGCAAGATCTGATTAGAAGTAAATTGCATGATTTTGCTACTTACACAGCATTTTAATAATCTCATAACACCAGAAATCAGAATCACATTTTGAGCGTAACCACAGCCACTAAAGTTCAAGTGTCTGTTTAATGATGGGAAAGAGAATAATTTAGCATCTTAAATACCACTTTTTGTGCAATGAGGCAACAAATTGTGAGCATTTAAATCTGTTAAACCTGCAATTTATTGAACAGTGATTGGATGTTTTGGTTTGATACTGTGTTTTTACACAATGCTTCCTTTAATCCAATTTTTGAGCTACCACAAAGGATACTGCCATGTTACCATACAAATTATAAATTTACAGCTCAAGTTCAAATTTACACCCATTTATACTTAATATCTTATAGTTTTATGTCATAAATACCAAATGTATCCCTTTAAAAACTAACAATATGTAACACGTGTATGGCCAGGTTGAAAGCTTTTATTACAACACTGAATATGACATCATGAAGGGACATTGTTAGTGGGATCATGTATAATTTATAATTTTGTTCGGAAGTCTGAGGGTGAAATACTAATTGAATCTGAAAAACTGATACAATAAAGGTGTTTTTCTTATAAATGTCTTTTAACTTACATAATATTATATTACAGTGTTTTTGTACATTTATAATGTATAGTTATAAAAGCATATTTTACCAGTTCATCTTGTCAGTATTGGAAACAATTATGGTTTACTGTATGCCATATATGAACCTGAACAGGGCACACATGAATTTTGGTTAGTTATGCATTTTTTAAGGATAGATCACTAGCTATGTGCACATGAAAAATCTGTTATCAGTTTATTTAAATGTAAAATTTACATGCACACCAAAATTTGATTAATATCTGATTTCTGAACTTTAAGATGATTTAAATGATATGCAAACTACAGAATCTGATGTGAATAATCAGGACAATTATCAGAAAGAAATCAGATGTTTTTGCTTGCTACATGTCATTTTTAAGAAATCTTCCAAGATTCCAATATTCTCATAATAGTCACATTTTCACATTTTCACATTTTTGACGAGGAAAATTATGCAAAAAGGGCAAACTAATGTAGTATAAACAAATTTCGGAGAAAATTAATGTTGGACCTAAGATTATTTGAATGACCAGTTAACCGCAAAATCTGTTGTGAGTAAATAGGGGCCCTTTGCGGTTACATGTAATTTTAATAGTCTTACAACTTCATTATCAAATTTTAACATGTATAGATGTATCAACCAAATTACTGGACTACATTTCCCAACTACGTGCACAAATGGGGCATGGTGGCGCACAAACATGATGCACAGTGCAGTATAAAACCCGCCTTTTCCTGCGTCACATCCTCTTTCCGTGCTCTTCTCGCTTTGAGGTAGGGAAAATATTTTCACCGCGACACAATCCGACATAATCTACTGTTTTTATTCATCATCTGCAGAGTCTAACCATTGATTTTGTTTTGTTTAATAGAATTCTCTCCCCACGATGAGAGCTAAGGTAAGAAAATGTCGAATTTGTATGCTTTCTGTTTATTCACAACAGGGTGTTAGCTTGGTGCGCTGTTAACACCAGATCGATGCTGATTTCTTTTACTATTACTTGATTTTCCTGACCTTTTTCAGTATTTTTTTATTCACTGTAGTAATGTGGTAACGCCAATATCCAACCAGCCATGTAACAATTTACCTTAAAAATATTACGACATGGCATGCTAGCTGCACGCTTCTCTAGCCTAGCAAGCGTAGAAGCATGCTATCAATGCACCAACTGCTCAGCTCCCCAAGCCTTTAACACTTTTGTTACAAAATATTGATGCTTCCAGCAAATGGCCACATTAAATTGTTACATTTGTGATGTTAAAATTGTGCTTTTCTTTCCACAGTGGAGGAAGAAGCGTATGCGCAGGTAAGCATGTTTATTAGCTAAAACCGCGAAGCAACATCACACTTACACCTTCAAAACTTATTTTTGTATATTAAAATGTCACTGTTCATAAAGTATTTGGTCTTGCCTATATTTTTCTTAAATCTGTGTTGAAATTTTGGTTTGTTAATGGTAATTAACCAAAAAGGCACAAGATTGAGTGTACCACCAGATCTAAACGTGGACTACAATTTGGCTCAAATTTTGGTTAATCTTGGTCCAAAAATGATACTAAACTCAATTTCTGAACTTTAAAGATGCCACATTTGTAAGACTGATTGGATCAAACTTTACAATTTTAAACAACTGACTAAGCTAGAAAACGCTGTACAACTCTAATTCCTATTTGTCATTTGCCACCAGGCTGAAGCGTAAAAGGAGAAAGATGAGGCAGAGGTCCAAGTAAGCCCTCTCTCCTTCCCCAGCTGTGAGTCCCGTCTGTCCCAGAGGCTGTGTCAGGACCCAGTGGAGACCTGAGGAGCGGCTGTTCTATAAGCAAACCCTGTGTTCCTGCTACAACTGGATGCTTTGGCGGATAAAGACTTTAACATCAGACTACAGCTGGACTCTTGTCATGGACCATAAAATTATTGCTCTGTCAACGTGTGTTTTGAACAATAAATGGAACATGTTCTTAAATTCACAAGTTTGGTATTCATTTTAATGACAATGAAGTTTTTAAATGCTTGGAACACTTAAAATGACTTGTAGGTGCAAGTGCTCTGTAGCCACAACTTTTAAAAACTTAATTCAGTAATCCTTGACCTGTGCTATAAAAATGTATATTAGAGGATTCCAATTTTTGGAATAAATCCTGGATAGAAGGATGATTGTTTATCAGCTTTATATTACAATTTTACTAGATTTAATGCCAAAATTATTATGTAGGAAATGTGCAATAAATAATGGTGGCTGGCATACCTGTGAGGTCTAAAAAGATGGTTTGTTTAAAAAAAAAAAAGCCTCGTTCTGACTTCCACCTGCTAGGCATATTTTTCAACTGTCATTCTCAAGCCATGTGGACGATAATTTTGGATCATATTTGTATGTTGGTTTTCAGTGAGGTACAAAACCGTAAAAAGGCAGAAAACTAGGGAAAACATTCTACTAGTCATTCCATTCCACTAGATATATTAATCTTCTGTTTTTATATGTTGTAAACAACCAAGCAACATTAAGAATGGAATCTGATGCACAAACATGAAAAGAACAAAATGAAATGCAGAAAATGCATCAGCGTAGTCGTGTGCCCTCAGTCCTGCAGGGAGCGCTTACGTCCTTCTCTCATACGTGCTGGGTTTGCGTCGTAGAGGAAGCGTGCACATTGTAAACACTGGGATGGCTGAAGAGGAACAAGACATAAACGACAACATGGGCAATCAGCTACAGCTTGTGCCAGGTAAAATACATGAAACTCTCGATTAGCAATTTATTCTTCAATCAGTGCATTTCATAGACACTGTTAGCTTAATATGGGCAGTTCAGTAACAACAACAGGCCATTGTACGCAGATTGCCAAAACATGTATCTTATATTAAATATTAACCTAAGATACTTCTTCATTACTTTCATTTTTTTTCAGACAGATGACACAATCGATATTCTATGTATTCTTCAACATTTAATGTATTTCATATGAACTATAACCTCAATATGGCTAGTTTAATGACAACAACAGGCCACTATACGCAGATTCCCAACACATCTATCTTATATGAACCCAAGATTATTCTTCATTTTACTTTCATTTTTACTCGGATATGTGGTCATTTATCCCGTGACATGCGTAGTTAAACTGTTAATACTAGACTATATTAAATTGTTATAAAGCCTGTGTATAATGCCATGTCATCACAGAAGATATTATACTAAGATTTAACAAAATGAGCTTAAAGACGACAACCCCCTCGTCCCATTTCTTTTGCTTTCGCTTTACCAATACAAGTAGATAATTTTAACAAGTCACAAACACAGTTAGATATTCTGTAATCAGTATATTTATTCGTTGTATTTTGTGTGCAATGATAGACAATGATGAAGAGGAGGAGGATGAAGATGAAATGGAGACAGAAGACAGGGACAGCGAAGACCCAGAGAAGCCAAGTACTATCACATTTGACCCGAGCCTCCCCACTTCACACGCGGTAGGTTATGACCCCTTCACTATTTATAGTCTAAATATGGGACTGTAGCCAAGTCAGCAAACAGGAAGAGAAATTACCAAAATTTAGGATTTATAAGTGATTTGATTGCTGTAGGCAGTTTATTGCATTGTAATTGACTCGTTTGATTCTTTTTTGGCTATGACCTTAAGATTATTTTGATCATCCTTAATTTCACATTTTAATTTCAGTTTTGTTTTGACATTATTTCTATGTGTCCTAATTTGTGAGTTACATCAATTAAAATGATGTAGTTTCTTTTTTGTGGTATTACCTTATTTTGTATATTTGAAGCCAGTAAATCAATTATATATCACAGCAGTGAGGAGATCTTAGCCATTTAAAAAAAAAAAATATTGGTTCATTCTGCTATTTATTATTATATATTGGTTCATATTGTCATATCCTGCTTTGTGTCAGTTTCAGAAACAAAATTATCATTTATTTTAATATATCTCTTTAGCAGTATGTCATGTTTCAGAGTTTGTTATTGTAACAGGCCTACTCATAACTGTATTTTTACTCACATTTTTACTTTTATTTTTTAGATATGAATGTTCATACACTGGGCATTTTCATCTGTATCACCATTCCCATAATACATTTCTCCCTGTTGTCACCAGTACTTGGGCTCAGACATGGAGGAGTTCACTGGTCGCACGGTTCATGATGATGACAGTTGTCAAACAATCCCGGTCCTGCCTCATGCGGCGCTGATGCTCGTCCCAGGACAGACCCTCCCTCTGCAGCTGTTCAGGCCTCAGGAGGTCAGCATGATGCGTTCCATCATCCAGAAGGACCGCACCTTTGCTGTACTCGCAAACAGGTCAGAAATATACTATGGGCTTAATATTGGGTTCTGTAGTTGGGGACATACAATAAACTATGAACATTATTTAAATTGTATCAGATATATCAGATCATCCAAAAATATTTCTACCCAGAAATTAACACATAACTGGACACTGCACTGCAGAACAAACTAAGGCCACCTGTGTCCTTGGTGATGCTATTTTTTGGTTGAAAACGTTTCACAGAATCGCTTAAAATTATGTATCCGGTATTTATTAAATTACAGATGTAGAAAGCAAAAAAGTGCCATGAAGAACATGCATTATTCTTACAGGGAGCTGACTCACCTCTCCACAAATCTGACTTGTAACCTGGCCCAGCGGTGTTAACTGTTTTTCGCTATTAGATGGATAAGTTAATTACTACAGTGGAACATTTCAGACTAAGGAAAACATCACTATAGAAACAAGAACTAAACATGACTAAAACAGAACTAACACAGATTTAAACTAGCACTAAACTAGTAAATAAGAGAGAAAAGATGGGCCGAGGGACAGATCAAATTGTTTGGAGGGTCTGATTTGACCTCTCTGTCGCATGTTGAATATGTATGAAATGTAATATTTTTCTCTTGCGTGCAGTGACGCTGGTGAACCAGAGGCGACATTTGGGACTACAGCAGAGATCTATGCATACAGAGAGGAGCAGGAGTATGGCATTGAGACCGTCAAAGTCAAAGCCATCGGACGACAGAGATTCAAGGTCCACGAGATTCGCACTCAGGCTGACGGGTGAGGAAGGGGGTTTAATATGAACAATAATGTTTTATTTAGTATTATTTATTTATTTTGATTATTTATTTATCTTAACACACACACACACAATATTAGACAAGTAAGTTTTACCTAAAACATCAATCATTAACTAAGTTTTTATTTGGCAAAACACTAAAACCCTAAAGCCCAAACTGAACTTTTATGATCTGCATTACCAAAATAAGCAACTAGAGGGCATGTGCACACTTCTGTTTAACATTTGACACATGAAAAATATCACATTATGATCATTTATAGTTAACATGGCAGCACATGGTGTAGTTGATTTTATTCATAATATTGTTTAAATGGTAAAGGTTTGTATGGATTATGATGTTTAGGGTTATTATGTCAACAGCTAAAAATGTGGTCTTCAAAATTATCATATTTTTTCTCTCATCTCTACCATGATATATAACTGAACTGTTACTTCCACCGGTTTGGTCAGTTAAAAAGTTTATTAATAACAATTTGAATAGAATTGAATCCTTATTAGATCAAAATTGTATTATTTGCACAGATTTAAGTCTGAGTCATTGAAGTGATAGTTCTGTTTAGAGCTATACTAATAATAGTATCTTACTTACATATGGCCTTTTAATGTTAAGTTATGTATTACCCAGAGTTCAGCAGGGTTCTTTCTATCCTTCTCCCCTGACAGTTGGAGTCACATAATGTATCAGAGCCTCCTATTTCCTCTATTACCTCGAGAACATTGAGCTTTGGCCCATAAAACGCACAGCTGATAAAGACGTATTCCTCCAATTCAGAAGTTGCTCTTGCATAATACATGTAAATTACTTGCCATTATCCGGTTGACCTTGTGGTGTCACTGTGGCGTTTGTGATATTAGTTTTCATATAATAAACCATGTGGATAGGCTAGGCTCACTAACCACATATAGCCTGCATATTCATTTGTGTTTTTAGAAATGAGTCCTCCAAACCAAAAGCCAAACATAAGCTGCCCCTCATGTGCTGTCTGGAAAGGGGTGGTGATTATGACTGCGTTTCAGATGACATCACAAAAGGGCTGCAAGATAAATGGCATTCAAAATTAAATCACAATTTGAATGGACTCAATTATCAAATAGCAAAGGCTAACATTTTTGAAGTTACAAAATTTCCTCCACAAACAACTAAATATCCTGTCTTATTCTGCATAAAACTGCTCACCCTGTAGTTTAGTACAGTTCTTAGTACATGTTCTGAAATGTGATTGCCGTATTAGTCATTTGTCTTTTTTATAAATTCTTATGGATGTGTTTAACATATAAACTTTAAATAGACATAAATTACAAATCTAATCGCATTGCTTGTCAGCCCCATATCTCATTATTTATTCTATGGACCTATAATATGTAATACAGATGGAGGGCAGCTAAAATTAATAATGTGAATATGCAGATTTTTGTTGTAATACAGTGAGTTCTTGGGTCTACTCAATAATAGAAATGATTTACTTCAACATTTTGGATATTTGGATATTAAAGTGAAATAAAATCAATAGTAAAAAAAAAAAAAGACTTTTGATTCCCTCTGGGATTCTGTCCCCTTGTTTAATAATACCACACCATTTCATTTTCATTTTATTTTGAAAAATGTGCAGAGGGAAGCTCTTTGTGCATTTGTGGATGAAAGATGCCTGTTATTTTCCTTTTGACTGGATTTAACAAAAATCCGATTTCACGGTTTGTTCCACTATTGTGACACTTCAATCAATCAGCTTGAAGTATTCATTTGAACATTCCGCCTTGATCACATTTTAGCAAGAGCAGATTCAGATTGATAATGTGTAGACCTGAAATCAAAAGCGCTAGCAATCCTGCTGCCAGTTTATTACATAAACTACGAATCCTATGGTGTCTAAAGATGTATAATACAGATTTTTAAATCCAGATTAGAATCATGTGCAGAAAGCGGGGAGTGCTTTTAACTAGCAGACACATTGTTCAGGCTGAGGACATTTTTATTTTATGATCCTCTCCAATTTTCAAACAGTCTGTCAGAGCATTGATAACATTACCCTGAAGCACTGTTGTTTAATCTGCTCCTCGTCAATGTGCAATACAACTTCACTGTGGTTCTTTAGCAGGGGTGAAGGGCAGTGGGCAACAATTTTTTTTTGTTGTTACTGCTGTTTGTATTTTTTTTGTTTGTTTGTTTTTTTGGAGCAACAATTGCTTTAGTTTGGGCAAAGTTATTATTAAAAAAATCCTGTCATGACCTCTGATGATATGCTACATTTACACATATGCACTCCCCAACCACCAATTGGTTCTGCTTTGCGTCAGTGCAAATTTACATTACATTAATAGAAAACCGGTTGCCTGGGAAGTCCAGAATGATATCTCTCTGTTTTTTGAAAACAGAAGTATATCAGTCCCACTCCCTCAGTCACATTGTGAGCCAGAACCAAACATGACAATCAAATTTGTTTATTTCAGTAACGTATGTGAAACAAAGGTACTCATTGGTCATCTGTCATTTTGAACAAAACCAAACATATGTCACCTCAGATTGACAGTTTAATGCTTTGCTCACTGATTCTGCAGAAATTCACAATGTTTATTTTTTTCCTTTATTTTTTCTTGTTGGCTGCCATGTTTGTATAGATATAGACAGACCATGCATGTCCCTGATTGGTTAACCACTTGTGATAGTTAATCTGACATGTTTATTTTTTATATTTTATGTTTTAGAATCAGACAGGCAAAAGTCCAGATACTCCCGGAGCGAATCCTGCCTGATCCATTATCATGTGTGCAGCTCTCGACTCTGTCTAAACTCCATCCACACCCCTCCTCCAGACCCCCCAACCAGAGCTGGAGGGAGGCTCAGAGATGGTGGAGCAACTACCAACAGGTTACATATATAGATAGAAGATTCACCTTACCATTGTACACTGCAAAAAGGGAAGTCGGTTAAATTATTTATATTAGTCTTAATTTAGATTTTAGATTTTCTTTATGTTAGATTATGTTATGTTAGATTATGTTTCATAACACCTCTGATTGATATAAAGAGGATTATGTTCATAAAAAATGTAAATAATTATGTATGTAATACATATGTGGATGTATGGATATACATTAACCACCGGGGAAACTTAGCCAAAGCCAAAATATAGATTAAAATATATATATATTTTTTTGTTTTTGATGTAGAAAATATAGAGAAATATGTGTCTTTATTGTGAGCAGGGTTTCCTCTCCACAAACCTGACTCTTATTTGGCATGGATGGGGGCCTCCTCCTCCTGTTTCCATGGATTATGCTCCTTTGACTATAATACACAGCTCAAAAAAATTCAAGGAACACTGAAAATGCATCAGATCTGAATGTGAAAAAAAAAAGCTGGATATCTATACAAATATGGAGAGTCTTAGGAACAAAAGGATGCCACCTCTTTTATTGGAAATACAATTTTCAGCCTACAGAGGACTTAATTTTATAGTCTCTCTGAAAATCAAAGTGAAATAATGATGAGGCTAGTCCATTTTATCAAACTTAAATTTCTGCAACAAAACACTTCTGAATATCTTATTTGGCCCCCACATGCTTGTATACATGTCTGTGTAAGGGCATCACTGAGCTCCTGTAGAGTTTGATGGATGTCTGATGGACCCACATGCAATGTCCCAGAGGTGTTCTACTGTTTTCTAGCTGGTAGACTAGGATATGCCTCCCCAAACCATCACTGACCCACCACCAAACCACTCATGCTGAACGATGTTGCGGCCAGCATAGCGTTCTCCTCGTCTTCTCCAGAATCTTTCACATCTCTCATAGGTGCTCAGGGTGAAGCTCATCTGTGAAAGGCACAGGGCATCAGTGGAGGACTTGCCAATTCTGGTCTCATCTAACAAATGCCAATGGAGATCCACGGTGCTGGGCGGTGAGCACAGGGCCCACTAGAGAACATGGCACCCTCAAGCCACCCTCATGAAGTCTGTTTGGGCAGAGACATTCATACCAGTGGCCTGTTGGAGGGCATGGGCAGTGCTCAGCCTCCATATTTGTTTAGACATTTTTTCACATTGAAATCTGATGTGTTTTCAAAATGTTCCTATAAGTTTTTTCAGCAGAATATTTCACAGTATGGCATAAAACCTTTCTATCTCTATAGAAAATGTTTTGAAGTATGGTTTTAACTGTATCCATGGCATCAGGTATGTTATGTGGTATTACTTTAAGGAATCTAAATTTGAGAAAATTACTCACATAAATTTTAAAGTAGCACAACGTAACTTTTTTAGTGCCAAGCATATAATTTATATGACTAGGGTAGTAGAAAGTTAAAGTGATACATTGGCACTTTCTACATGGAGATGCCTTATGCCATTCCAGGCAAAGCAAAAACATAGCAAGGGAGATAAGGTTGCAAACTAGGTCTGAGGTACGGAAAGCCCAGTCAGTGTTTTTTAATTTATTTAGTGCAATAATGCCTATAGTGTAATAATAAATGCGTTTATTTTTTGAGTGAAGCTTCAATTAATCAAGATGTTTTGGTGCATGACCTGCACAGTACATATGCTTGTAAACTGATCTTTGTTTGGTGATCTCATGACAGAAGAAGTTCAACTGTGCCCGAGTGACGCCGTGGCCGCCCTGGGTCTATGCTCTGTACGATGCAGTGAGTACGGTCCAGCAAGTTCAAATATAAACACAACATATGACCAATGTAAACCGCTGTATCTGTGTTTGTCTGAACAGGAGACGCTCATGAACAGAGTCAAAAAGCAGCTCCACGAATGGGACGAGAACCTAAAAGATGACTCCCTGCCCTCCAACGCCATAGGTCAGACATGCAATTGCACAAATGCATCAAATGTATCTTAACTACCAAATCTAGTATTATGATAATTATGTATTAGGCTTATATAGTGCTTCTCCAGACAGTCATAGTCTCTTTACAGTTTTGTGCATTATTAATCGCTCTACATTTGGTGGTAGTAAGCTACTATGTAGACACAGCTGCCCTGGTAAAGACTGACAGAAGCGAAGCTACAAATCTGCAGAATTTGCCCCTCCAACACCCACACCATGTTCATACTAGACAATGTGGGTGAAGCTCATTGCTTAGTATAGAGCTACTGCTGCCCCATTTTGGCACTTAGTATTTCTCCCAGCTCAGGCCAGGCCCAACCCTGCTTACCTTCTGAGATCAGACAAGATTGGGCATTGACTAGATGGTCTGGACACATGGTAATTTTGATGGGGTAACATGGCAATTTAAGGCGTACATTTCTCCTAATAGTCTACACAACATTTCTACGTTCAGTATTTCAATGATTTTGACAATGGTTATGACATGGTAAAAAGCTTTGAAGTACATAATAGGCTCTAACAAGATTAAAGATAATGGGGTTAATTATCAGGTTTTAAAGATTCAGCTGTTAGATTTTGCCAAACCGTAGGCTATACTTATCATTTTGATTGCTTTGAGAGAGACCATAGTCCCTGTTTTCTTTGCAAATTGATCCACTGAATCTTGCTTTATTAATGATGGATGGATCTTTATTGCATACTTTTGTGATTTTTGTGTTTGTTTCTGTTATTTCTATAATGAATATAGTGAATATAATTGACCACTCTTTCCTCTTGCAGATTTCTCGTACCGAGTGGCGGCCTGTCTCCCCATTGACGACGCTCTGAGACTGCAGCTGCTCAAAATCGGCAGTGCCATCCAGAGGCTGAGGTGTGAACTGGACATCATGGACCGGGTAAGGGCTGTACTGTCAGAGGGGTGTGCAAAATGAACAGAAATAAATATCTTTAAGTGGGACTTTTTGCAACTAAACTGTGTACATGGTGTTTCAGTTACATTTTTCTATTGTTCCTAGTCGGGTCAAGATACTCTGAAAGGCAGATATCTCGCATTTATTCAATAGCAGGTGTTTATTGCTTTAAAATATCTTAATAATAATCATAATCATATATTTAAATTAACTACATTTTAATGGCCGAGGTTGCATTTGGACATCAATGGTGAAGAATGCCAAAGGGTTGTGTGTATAGGTTTAGTATTTACATATTTTCACATGTACATAATATTTAATATTTACGGGGGAAGTTGCCCTCTACACTCAATAAGAAACATTTTGTTCAGTCTTAAAGAACAAGCCAGACACGAGACTATATTATCTTATTAATATAATTTGACATCAAACGCTAAAAATGCATCATTATCCATGTGTTAGGTTAAGGGTTAGGACAGCTTTTAAGATCATCTACATTCATCTGTTTTGAAAATATGTTTGCTCTATGTATGTACAGTATGTATAAATAAACGGCAATGACCGAAATGACCCAACTCAATAGCGCTGCTTAGAAGCGGATACCTATGGGAGTGGGGACAAGCAAAGAACGAAATTTGGAGCAGTGATAGAGAACAATGAGACAAGCCAAAAGTTGAATTGGTGCATGGCTCTTTGATGAACAGGAAATCGAACATATTGGATCAAAAAATTTGCTGCTGTTTTGACTGTGTTTGTAAAACGCATCTAAAACGTCCCTGGTTTTTGAAATTGGCTTATAAGTTGCGTGTCACATCTTATATACATAGGTTCACAAAAATTATGTGTTTTTTTGGGGATACTCATGGTTTGCCTCTAGCACATTTCATGGCCACAGGCATTGGTCTAGAGAGCTCAAATTCAAATCACAATTGCGTAATCCCGGCCTAAATCTAACAAATTATGAAGTCTTATAGAACTGAACACTGTAGCACCCCCTACCATAGACATAAAATATCAACATTATTATATACCTGAATATAATATACTATAAAGCACCTTGCACTATAATGCACCTTTAAGTCATCTGTAAATTTTCTTTGGAAAAAAAACATCTAGTTGTTTTTCAAAGTTGTTCAGCCCTCGGAAGTGGACTGTAGCCACTCCAGAAGCAAAGTCCTGAGGCATCAATCAGTTGCTCCTGGCTCCAGCTCAGCACTAACATCCATTATTAGCATAACACATACACGAGGGCAGGCTGGTCTATGTCTGCTCTGTTTGCTTGGATCATTCATGTTATATTTTACCAACCGAGTAGCAGAGAGAGGAGTTTGCTGTCGAAGTCTGGATGAAAACGTATTTATATCCTCAAGATGAATGGGGAATTTATTTAAACACATTTGCGCTCTCCTTCTAGGCTAGACATAAGCTCCATTGTGTTCTCCAGAAACAAATTCCAACTTGAATTTAGTTGATTTGCAACTTACATGTGACGTAGTATTAGTGGATAAACAGGAATGCATAATATATTTTTTCCTCTATGTGTTGATGCATACTATTGCTGTGCCTGGAATGTTCCACGGTATGGCATTTAATATGTCAGTGGACACAAGGTGAGAATTAAACTTGGCGTAGTTACAGATCAGATCTATGGAGAGGAGACCCCACTGTTATTCTTCAGTAAAAACACCTGCAATTTAATAAATGCCATACTGTGAAACATTACGGGTGAAGCAATAGAATCTCCATATTTCCATGGAGACAAGCAGGTGGCAAACCCCCACTAAAAAAAATTACATAGTAGACCTTTAAAATGCAGCCACTTGTAAAGGACAAATGAACTTAATCAAATAGACACATCCTCAGCTAGTAGTACCAATATAGTGTGGTCTGGCTCTTTTTATTTGTTGCCAATTAAACTAAATGTTGAAAGGACTAATAAACCTCACTGCCAATTTAGCAAAATGGCATAGTTTACCTGCCTCATCTCCAAATGATACTTTGCAGCTGATACTTTGCCTGTGTGGTGAAGCTAACCAGAGGAACTGCTCTATGACTCAAGTTAGACTTTAATTTGAGTTTTATTTTAGCACAAGCTAACCTTAAAGAAGTGATTTGGCTGGGACTACAACAAGTGAGCTGATTTGTGCTGTTGAACAAGTCCCTCTCAAATAACATTACAGTCACAAGCTTAGTATTAACCAAGAGTTTTTCCAGTTAGTCACTCTCACTTTTTCTCACCTTTTTTGTTGAAAATCAAACACCTAAACAGGTGCATGAATGCTCATATTGGTCACAGGCTCCTGAAAAATGTGCTGTTTAAATACATTCTTAAAACTTATTTGGCAGTGTTTGCTAATGTGTGCGCATTGTGTCACCATAGTAACTTCTGAGCATTCCTCCATACACATACATGTAGAACCCCTCAGTATCAATAAATTATCAACAGTTTACCCCAGGTCAGTTGTAAAATCTATTGTTCCTCTTTTTCAGTGCACCTCTCTTTGCTGCAAACAGTGCCAGGACACTGAAATCACCACAAAAAATGAAATCTTCAGGTAAGAACACAAATTTTCAATTTGTTTTCTCTTTCAAAATGGAAGCATTAACTAAAATGATGTGATATTACATTGATAATAGGTTTCCTTCACAATCTCCAAGTTATTATCAAGCATCTGCAAAGATTAGCCTTGTTTTAAAATCACATTAAGTCTGGGTTACAGAAGGACTATTACGCAATACAATTTCTAACCATCTGTGTCCCAATTTGTTTGTCTAAGAGGTCTGTCACTTTGAATTCTCTGCACCATTAAAGTAAGTGGTTGTGGCAGCAGTAATATTTATAAATTTGATATTGAAATTTCTAATCTCAAGATGAAGAAAAACATGTTTTTGGACAGAAAAAGTGACATTTTTGGACTAATTGAGGCTCTGTGCGGTTAATGAAAAATGTTCTAACCTTTTAAATATTCATGCATATTCTATGAGTAGAAAAAATAGACTCCAGAGCAGATGAGGACGTGCAGATTCAGAGGCACCAAATCAAAGCAGTCTTCATTAAAACTAGTTTAAAGGTGCACTAAGTAACTTGTCTGGTTGATGGTTCACCACCAGCTTGTCTCTATCGAGATGTTATTGCTTTGCCTGGAAAGTTTCACAGAATAGCAATAAAGCTATCTATCTCTATGGAGACAAGTAGGTAGCACCACCACTAGGCCAAGCTACATTCAGATCTGTGGTGAAATGACCATGTTCACTGTAAAAGTAAGTGTTTTTAAATGTATTTTTGAAACCTATATTGACACAATTGCAAGACGGGTGAACTTGATGCCATACTGTGGAACATTCCAAGCAAAGCAACAACATATTCATGAAGACAAGCAGTGACCCCTCTACCCGTTACATAGTGCACCTATAAAATCTAAAATCCGCTCAGTTTTGCTCAGATTATGATATAAACTACATAAATCAGAATTTCATCCAATTTTGTTCTTTTGAATGTGTACTTGACCATAATATTATATTTAATTACTGATAATTCTTTTGTTTTTAGTATCAGGATATGTTGTAATATATAGAATCGTCATAGGCATAACGTGATACATCATATGCACCATATCACCAGATTCATACACCCCTAGCTAACAGTACATTTTTATTCCTCAATATTGGTCATAGAGTGTAAAACTGCTTTACACTTAAATGAAGCTTTGTTGCAAAAAACATGATGGAATGTCTTACATTATGATTTAATTTGTTAATATTTTGCAATGTCTTTCTTCCCTGTGCAGTTTGTCGTTGTGCGGTCCGATGGCAGCATATGTCAATCCTCACGGTTATGTCCATGAAACTCTCACTGTTTATAAAGCCAATAACCTGGGGCTGGTCGGGAGGCCCTCCACTCTGCACAGCTGGTTCCCAGGGTAAGAAATACTCTAAGATAAAGGCTGGTAACATGTTTAATGCTATAAGAAAATCAGGCCTACATAGTTTGATCCTGGTTTAGTTCTGATGAAGACTTGGTTTGGTCTTGTTCTAGTTATGGTCTAGTTCACATTTGCTCTTGATTTAGACCCCAATTTTGATGCATAATAAATCAAGAATTATTACCAAATACTTTTGTGATAGGGCAGATTAGATTGCCTATGAATCATTGTTATTCCTAGTCCTTTTTAGGGGCTGCTTTTAGTCCATGATTAGCCACAGATCAGGGCTAAGTCCCAGTTTAGATCTGGAAAGGCTGGTCTGTCCCATTTATGTTGAAGATTTAATTGGCCTATGCCAGGACTGAACCAGGACTGAACCAGGATTTAACCCAGAATAACAGGGACCAAACCTTATCCCAACCAGGGCCAAACCAACTAAACCAAGAATTCTTACCAAATGCTGTACTATTAAATATACCATAGTGAAGAGAGAATTCAGATCTTGTTTAGTTCTCATTTGTCTTGTCTTAGTCCAGGATTGTCATTGCTCTTGTTTCAGTCCTGGTTTAAATCTGGTTCAGTCCTGGTTCAGTCCTGGTTATGATCAGGTTCGGTCCTGGTTTAGTCCTGGTTTAATCTTGGTCATGATCCAGTTTAGTCCTAGTTTAGTCCTAGTTCAGTCCTGGTTCAGTCCTGGTTATGATCTGGTTCAGTCCTACTTCAGCCCTTGTCTAGTCCCAGTTCAGTCCTGGTTCAGTCCTAGTTCAGATTTGGTTTATTCTTGTCTAAATGGTAGCATCTTGCCTGGCCGTTCACCAGTCTCTTAAGTGCATTCTTCCTCTTCTGACTAAACAGGTCATAAACTGTTAAAGGAGGCACTTTGATTATATTTTATTCATGACGTCTTTCTCTATGAAATCCAAGGCATCTGTGAAGTGTCATTTTGAGTCATGTCCTTGTGATGGCGCAGTCGTCTGGGGCCACTGTCGCCGTGGTAATTCTGAAAAAGCAGCAGGAGACGAGAACTGCTCAGAATCAGTTAATATAGAGAGAGAGATACTTTATTGCTCCTGAGGGAAATACAAATTGGCTTCAAGAACTGGACAAAAAGAAATCTACAAACTGCCTTGGTGGTTACTTTATTTATTCTTGACTTTATTTGTAAGGCAGATTTGTTTTGCAGCAATTTTCAGGTTTGGCATCAATAAACATTAGACATAAGACAATAACATGACTTTGGGCAGAGGTGGCTTTGGTAGAAACTGTTGTTCTGTCCTTAGACACAACTCTTCAGTTGTACTGCTTAGTATGAATTTGGTGTGTGAATGTTGATGGTGGTCAGATAGGTCATAGGACTCTGTGGCACAATTTGGAAGTCTCGCTTCTGGCAGTCTACCCCAGGACATCTGTGGCTGCAGTAGGAGCGTATCACTACAGAGTATGAAGTGAATGAATAATGAGTAAAGCACTTTTGGTGTCTTGATAGGCACTATATAAATCCAACATATTATTATTAAAAGTAAATGGACTGTAAAATTCTTCAAGTGCAAAATTATCACTTTAAACCATGGTGGAAAACTTTGCATGGCAAGAATAGTTTTAATCAGCTCTTTTTGAACCATAGCCTAGTTCTAATTCAGCATATTTTCCAGAAGGCATTTTCTAGACCAGTGGCTGTTTCTGTACAACAACAAAGAGGGTTTACCCAGGATTACACCAATGTCACCCTAACTCAAAAATTTCACCCAAAAGGAGGGCAAAAAATGTGGAAATGCTTGGCCTAAAGTGACTCTCGTGAGCTTTAAGCCAAGTTAGAATGTTGTTACTTCATCAAAAACATAGCCACAGTTGTGTTTTGTTTCATTCACACACGTCTGAGTAATCCGAATGATTCTAGTTAAGGTTTATAGGTGTTGTTTAGCCATGTTAGACAAATTTCAAACATCATCCTCAACCTTATAATAAATTGAAATAAAAATGTCCCTCTTTTCCTCTCTTAAGATACGCCTGGACCATTGCTCAGTGCCGGACCTGTGGCTCTCATATGGGCTGGAAGTTCACTGCCACTAAGAAAGACTTGTCTCCTCAGCGGTTTTGGGGTCTAACGCGCTCCGCCCTCTTACCCAGAATCCCACAGGCCGAAGGCGAGGAGGCCGGGAACAACTCGCGACTCTTCTGTCTGTGACTTCCATCCAATTGTCTCGCCTTTGGCCCAAAATATAATCCACAAAACCCTAAAGTTGGGACAGAAATGCAGTAATCAGTGCACTGCTCGCTGCCAGTCACCCCTTCGGCAAAATCCATCATATTTAGGAAAGGTTAAAGGTCGTTTAAATGGAAAGGGGGCGGATTGAAAGGGGGGCAGATTGCAGATTGTTGTGGATGTGACACAACACCTGCATAATTCCATGGAGATAGAAAGTTAAATCCATATTGCGGAACATTCTCCATGTAGATAGATATGTTTTATGCCATATTGCGGAATGTTAGAGCTTAAAGTACAAAATTTCCATGCAGACTTGTAGGCCAAATAGGTTTGTGGAGATGCAAGCCCACTCACAATACAGATGCATGTTTTTCAGTTCAATAAAAACATCCAAAATGTAAAAAAAAGCATGCATTTATTTGTTGGCTAAAAGTTTACACAGTGGGGCTTTAAGCAAAGAAACAACACACACGGCTTGGCTCCAAGGAGCAAATTCAAACTGTTTTATGGCATAAATCATTGCACATGGTTGTACAAATTTGCCTTAAAACATTGGAGACAGATTGTGAGTTCCTATCTGTAAGCCATGTCGCTAATGACTGCAACCTAGACGTTGTGATTACATTTAAGACAATTAAGTGTTCAGATGAAGTTACATTAAAAATTCAAATTAGACCTTTACCACAATATTGGTAAAGCTTCAACTTAAAACTTAAATATAGTTTAACCATGTCTTCTTAAGGATTTGTTAACTTTGTAAAGAAGTACAGAGTTAAAGCATCTATCCTTCAAATATGTCAATTACTGTCACTAAAAATTCAAAGTTCATCCCCTTTTCTTTGGTTTGATGGAGAAATGGACAGCAGCCTGTTGAACCAAGAGTGTATATTAAGAGTGTAATATTGTATTTTTATAAGTGAAAGATATTACCAAATGCTTAGCCATATCAGGAATACACTGGTGATTTTGGTATAAACAAAATGTAGGTAGGAAAAAACAAGCTTGATAGGATGCAACCACAGTACTATGTCTTTGTGTACTCTTAAAGGCCAATCTTGTGTGCGTCACGGTAAAAATTTAGTTGATTTATTTTTAGTCTCAGCGTGTGCCTATGATTTGTTTTGGAGTTGATTAAAGGAGGTAGAAATGTGAAAATATTGAATTATTTAAACTATTTTAATTTGTCTAATTCATCCCATTTGTTACAAGATGTGATATTTTGGCAAAATAGCAGTTTGTCAGTTATCAGCTGTATACATTGCTCTCGATTAATATTGCCACCAGTGACAAAATATGTAATGATACTTTGTTTTAGAGACTTTCTGATTTAATTCCCAACCAACCCAAATAGATTTTCATGGGTATTTTGGGAACCATTTTTTGACAATGACAACCTTTCTTCTAGACCAAGGGTGCCACAAACCAGGGCTCACTACAGTTAGTCATTCATTTTAGGTCTGTATCATGGTGCAGTGTGATGTTATTGATTATAGTGGAGAAACTGTTTAAATTTCCACTTAAAAACACTGTCTATGATCATTTGGGCCTGTACAGCTGGAGTCCTCTAGTTTGGACATCCCTGTTTTAGACGGATGCCCAATGCAGTTCCTATTTAAAGGTGCACTGCACAACTTTTCTGCTGGAGAGTCTGTCATCTGCTTGTCTCCATGGAGATGTTATTTCTTGTCTGGAATGTCATTAAACAGTTCTACATTACATTTATTCAATTACAGCTTGTTTTATAGCTAAAGGTGGTTCAGTCTCTGTGAAGATAGAAAGTTTTGTGAAATGTGAAACATTCCAGGCAAATCAATAATATCTTCACAGAGAAAAGTATTTGACGGACCTTCCACTAGAAAAGTTATCATACACAGTGCATCTTTAAGCATTGTCTTGGATAGGCCTGTCACGCTAATTATTGTATCGACTTATCGTTCAATATATGAAAGATCGAACAATATATTTTGGGGCTCAATATTTATCGTGAGTACTTTTTTCTTTGCAGTAGTGAGGAGGTTTTAGCCATTTTTCTGTGGCATAAAGTAATTTCAATATTATTGCAGTATATTGCTATAGTTTCAAAATTGATCTAGACAGGCCTAGTCTTGGAGTTGGAAAACAATGATTGGAGTATTTCTAGTTGCTTCATACCAAGGTTTAGGCCACTAAGAAAAAGTATAATCTGAAAAGTTATAATATCTAGAACTATCTCACTATTTCACACTTTGGTCATTATTACAAATTGTGTCAGTGTTACTGGAGGGCACTGTATATTTACAAGAATGGTTAATTTCTTATCATTATTGAGATTCTCATTGTTGTTTTATGTGTTCTTTGGGTGTTTATGTTTGAAAGAAATGTCTAGTTTTCTCTACATCCTTCCATTCATATCTTACATTGTATTGCTTTGAGGACTTTTCCAGACATAATACATAACTTTATTAGCTGATAAAATGCAATTATAATTGTTGGTTGCATCAATTCTACAATGTGAGTGGTCTTATGGGAAATGAAACAAACTGAACTACTTCATTTTGCTTTTATCAGCTCAGTCTAAGATTTCTTCATTTGCAAAACGCTTTGTTTAAATCAATAGTCTGACTCTTGTGATTGAAAACAACAACTGTACAATCTCAAGTAATAAAACTGGTGTCAGTATGTGAAATTGCTTGTATATTGTTTTTCTTATTTTTCTTTTGCAAAACCATTATTCATACTTATTAAAACACTTTTGGAGCTGCAGTTAACTGTAAGCTGCTTCTAGGTAACTCAGTACACTGAATAAACTGGTGAAAGAAGCAAATTTAGGAAAAACTGCAGTTCAATGGTCTTTTTTTACTTAAAGGTCCAATGTTACGCAAAATTAACTCCCGTGAGCTTTAAGTCATGTTATAATGTTACCACATCAAAAACATACCTGGCATTGTGCTTTCTTTCATTCACTTACTGTATGTTTGAGTAATCCTGCATTATTAGTCTGTCTACATCTCCAGAGCGCAAAATGCTCTGTTCCAACTTGGGAAGTCATGAAGTGATAGTTTTCAGTTAACATCTACCTTTTACCTTTTGCTTAGATGAGATTGGCAATGCCAGGCCTGAAATTATTTGGACCTGGGGTGATTATAGGGTCCACCCATAAGGTTATAAAGAAGTGTTCTCTGAAACTCTGGTACATAAGTTAAAGTTAAGGCATACAAGGCACTGTCCCAGTCCTGAAAATTGTCCTTTTGTCCTACTCCTCACTCGGTCACAGAAGCTCAATCAACATGGTCACAAAATATGAATAAATTGTGTTGGCCCCAGCTAAGACCCAGGACATGCTGGAGGGACTATGGGCACATCTCATTTCTATTTCCATGCTTCCTTCTCCTCGATCATTCATTTTTAGCTGTCAATCAAATATGAATATTAAGCGGTGTTCCTAAGCTCAGAGGAGGCAAGGGAAGGAACCCACAGAGAAAACATGAGTGAGGGTTCAAGATGTAGACATAATTTAATAATTCACTCATAGTGAGTAATTTGTATTGTCATAACTACAAAATAGGGACAGCAGCAATGGAGGTTTGGCATTAAAACGAATAAAAACATATGCTGAACACATTTATTTTAAAACAAAGACGTTGGTCTGACTTTGATATATAAAATCCTCATTATGTGGTGATTTTGGTCAAAACCAGAGCCTGAGGAAAGTCTGTCCCATTCACCCTCAGCTCGTGTCTTCTCCTTATCTCCTCTCTCACATCCTCACCCATTTCCTACAGAATTAAGGAGCAGAATCATGGAGAAGGAAGTGAGGAAAAAGAAAAGAGATGTACCCTATGTCTCTCAGCTGGTATGGGAATCTCTTGGGGTCCCTCTGGAGGAGCTGGAGGAAGTGTCTGGGGTAAGGGAAGTCTGTAGGTCTCTGCTCAGGCTCCGGCTCCAGATAAGTGGAAGAAAATGGAATAAGTGATGGAGGAAACCAGATGAGCAGATAGTGAATTAATGACAGAGATGTTACACAGCAAGAGAGGCACATACATCCAGTTTGGACCACCACTGCTCATGTTTATCTTTATACACTTCACCCACTTTCCCTTTGTATGATTTTTTAGTGTGATTAGTGTTTGGTGATGGTTGGAGCAGAAGTGGCCAAGAGTGGCAGGCTTTCTTTGTCAGTCTATCCCAGGGCAGTGGTGGCTTTGATTATCTTGAAAGACACAATATAAATCAAAGGCCAGGTCCAGAAGGTAGGTCAGAAGCTAAACACTTTTATGCAAATCTTTCTGTCAATCAAATGATCTATAATTAGTTACACTCCACTTGACTCCCACCCACACCTCACCTCTGCTCTGATCTGCGTGTAACAAGAGCCTGAACTGACTGTGCCTGTAATTTCTGTTGTGGTTGATAAATTAACGTGTTTCGTGACTCTTTCTGGGCATTCATGAGTTTGCATATCTTAATAACATTTGTGCATTAGCCTCCTCACATACAGGTACGTGTGAGTGCTGTGTATGCTAACAGAACAATAGGGTCATTGAGAGAGGCGCATTAGAAGAGGCAACGGGTTTGGTTTAATAAAGAGAGAAAGATGAAGGAAACGTGAGAGAGGAGAGAAGGTGGACATTTGGAGCCAAATGCAACACGTGACAGCAGGCTACTTCAACTCAGAGACTGAAATTGGTCTGGGAATTGTTTGTGAGCTGCCCTTGGTAACATGGTACATTGAATAAAATGGTGAAGGAAGCAAATTTAGGAAAAAACTAGGGCAGTGCAACTTAAAGATCCTATATCACACAAAGCTGACTCTTGCGAGCTTTAAGTCATGTTATAATATTGTCACTGCATCAAAAACGTACCTGGAGTTGTGTTTTGTGTCATTCATACATGTTTGAGTAATCCTGTATTGTTAGTCTGTCAACATCTGCAAAGCGTAAAATGATCTGTCCCACCTTATGGAGTCATGAAGCAGTATTTTTCAAGTTAACAACTACCTTTTACCTTTTGTTTAGCAGAGACCGGCAATTCCAGGCCTGAAATTATTGAAATTATTCTAGTGAAGGTGTATGGAGTTTAGAAACACAATGGAGCACTACTTGTATTACAGGCTTATATGTAAAATGTGTGAATGAAAAATAAAACAAAAACAAAAACAAACAAACAAAACAACAACAACAAAACAACAAAAAAACAAAAATAGCATTATAGAGATTGACAAAGATCAGAAAATAGCTTAATATAGGCCTTTTAAAGGTGCATTATGTAACTTTTCTGGTGGAAAGTCTGCAGCCTGCTCATTTCCATAGCCTCCTGAAATGTTCCACAGCTTGGCTTTAAACTGATCTCCCTGAAGACAAGCATGTCATACCACCAAGTTACAAGTCACATCTGTGAAAAGGTGATCCTGCTCAAAGTAGGAGCGTTTTTTTGGGGTTTTTTTTTTAAGCATAAAAGATTGGCAATAAAGTACACAGGAAGTAGAGTCACCACCGCTAATCTGCATCTTCACCACGATCCATGTGCTGTGTGAATGTAAAACAGGCCTGGGCATTGTACAGCTCCTGGGCCACATATGGCCCTTTGGTTGACACTGACCAGCCATTTCAGATAATTTGGAATTACAAAATAAACATCATATCAGTCTGACTGACATATATACATATATATATATATATATATATACACACACACACACACACACACACACACACACACACACACACACACACACACATATATATATATATATATATATATATATATATATATATATATATATATATATATATATATATATATATATATATATACACACACACACACACACACGCACGCACACACACACACAAAGAAATACAATTATACAGAATTAAGCATTAATTATTTTGGCATGGCTCTCCACAACATTTTCTGTTTCTCATGTGGCCCCATGGAAAAAATAATTGCCCACACCCAATATAAACAGACACACGTGAAGAACTACTCTTGCCTTTTTACTTTCAAAGAATGCCTGAAACTGGATTAATAAAGTGGTTTTGTGGACTGGATGTCATTATTTGTGGAGGACAATTTTTATGGATAATGGATAATAAAGTATAATAATGGATATATAAAGGATGAGATACTGCACTGTAAATTTACCACTTTATAAGAGGTGAGTAATAATGTCTTCTCACTATTTTTGCTAAATCCCGAGTTTGTATCTTGCATCTCTGTGTCCATCACTCCGTCTGCTCCTGATGCTTTGTTTTATTGGCTGTTACTGTAGCCTTGCTGATGTTTGGTGGTTACGATTTGACAGAGTAGCTCAGCGTTATACTGACCCCATACACATTAGGAGCAGCGGTTTCAAAATTGCACATGAAGAAACAAAGTCGGGTCACACCTCCCCGAACTCAGGAAGACGCAAATCACAGCCAAAATTGAGCACATTCTCCTTTAGTGTGTGGTGGAATTAAAACATACATGTATGAATCAAAATACAACCCTGGTCCCTGGGCAAGCTTGTGGGGAAGGAACACAGAATCTCATTGTCTCATTTAATAGTTAATATGTCCACTTTGACCATATGCACATTTGTCATACAGGAATGAGAGAGACATGCAAACTCCACCTACCTCAAACTCTCACCAGAGAAAGCTCCTGTCTCCTACCTAACCAATTGTAGTCTATAATAGATCAAACTTAAATGTACCTTATAGCGCAGACTACTTAATAAAGGTTCTCTTATATCTTAGCTGCTTGTTCTTATGGCCCTTTGCAACAGCACGGCTGTGTCCCAAGAAAATTAGTGACGCAAGTTCATTATGTCTGATTACTCTTGGCCAGTATACTGGGCAGGCGCAATCACTTAGGTGGTTATATAATTTCATCATTTATCATTAGAAATACAGTGTACATTAGTCTTTTATCTGAGAGGGATGAGGCTTTGCACCTCGGCTCTTCTATTGCTGACCTAATGGTCGAAAATAGAGCTCCATTATAGCAATGAATCAAACGCGTTGTGAATGAGTCTTTGTAGTAAATTCACATGGGGATCTTTTTGCTTTTTAACTCAGTATAAGGAGGGTTATGATATATAATGGGACATATCATAAATTATAATCTTACAATATATACTGGTTTGGATTGCCATAACATAAAGCATAAAGAAGCCAATGGTAAAAAATTGTAAAATGTCCCAGTTATATATAGCACTTTTTCACCTTCAAGCCACTCAAAGCTCTTTACACAGAAGAACCACTTGTCCATTCACACCACAGTGTGCGCAGACACTGGGTACAGATAGGTTAAGTGTCTTTCCCAAGGACACAATGTCAGTATTTATCTGTGGGCGCTGGAATCACACCGCCAACCTGTGATTCAGTGGATCTGACCACTCTACCAATGATGTTTATGTGGACAAAAATTCTCCTAACTGAACTACTGTTGCCAACTATTTTCTAAAGTGGTACTTGTACCACTACAAGGCATGAGACATTTGTGTAAAAAATAATGTAACATTTCTAATGAAGCATTTGCCTCCTGTTTGGGCCATGTGAAATGTTATTGCTTTTGCTTTCTGTGGAATTAAACATATCTATCTCCATGGCAACAAGCAAGTGACACCACAAGGCCAAGTTACAGGTCATATCTGTGGAGAGATGATGCTGTTCACATTAAAAATGCATTTTTGTTTAGCAGCAACCATACCTGCAATATAGATTGTGTATAGAGTGAAATGCCATACTGTGGAACATTTCAGGCGACAACTTCATGGAGACAAGCTGGTGCTGTATACCCTCATCGCCAAAAAAGTTACACAGACCATCTTAAAGTAAATTTCAATCCTGGTGTCAATGCGGTTTCAAGTATATTAAACAGTACATATTAAAGTAGCATGTAATTATAAAATGAATAGATTGTTCTCTGGGCCTTGTTTGAATGTTCTTATGCTCTACATAGTCCTATTATGGTCTAAGTGTTTATGACCTGGGCTGTGTCTGTCTTTGTTTGATCAGGACCAGAGTAAACTGTTGCAGTGGCAACTCAAAAATGCAGACTGCTATTACCTAACGGTAGCCCACTTTGCTCATTATTCTCCAATACATACATTATAACATACATTTACAGGGGAAAAACAACATCTTATTTGTTATTGGGGATTTCAACGGATAAACAATTATAAATAAATGGAAGTGTTATGCAGCTGTGTCTGGCTTCTTGTTCAATGGGGAATTCTAGTAAGTGGGATATATACGTAAAAGTGGGGCCAAATAATTGAAGTAAATTGTCTTGGTAAGTAATTTGTTCTGTGGCGTTTTATCATTAGGATCAATCATCTTTCCATTTGTCCTCGTTTGTGACTTGCTTGAAGCTCAGCTGCAGGTGCAAACATAAAGCTTCCCTCTTGACATTCATGTTTTGTAATGTGCTATATAGGTGAAATGTACAAAACACACTATTATTGCAAGCTATGAGTTTCATGTGACTGGAGAAAGTTTGTAAAATACAATTTTGATGGATCGACAGAATACAGCAATAAGTTATGACAACACTTTATTCATTGACTTAATTCATGAACAATACAAATGAAAATCATTTACAAGCATAGAAGTCCAATGCAGTTTTACAAAGTGTTTAAACCATCACTTCTCTGGAATATTCACAATATTTATATATTAGTTTGAAACACACAATCAGTATGTGTCTTACTGAAACCTGGCTAAGAACTGTGGTTGAGGACTGTACAAATTTCTATTTAAAGTGCATCCATCAATTTAATCCACACATTTCCTGTCAAAAAAGAAAATGTCTTTACACATTTGATACAGCTATACAATCATTCATCATCCTGAACCCTTTTTTAAACTGAGGACACATTGCCAGAGTCTTGTTGCAATGTCCACTTATTTTGGTCAAAGAAAGTTTAGAACAAATATTTATTTCATTCTCATCCCTCTTTGTAAAGGAACCATATTATGCTATTTTCTATTCTATGTTATAATGTTGTTTCCTCATCACAAACATACCTGGAGTTATGTTTTGTTTCTTTCTCACATGCTTAACACACAAACTTTGCATATTTCAATGGATTTCTTGTCTCAAATGAAAAACACTTTGTTCCACCTTGTCACATTGTAATACAAGAAGTGTTTTTAATATGTTTTTAATCTGGAATTGCCAATCTCTACTAAACAAAAGGAAGATGAAGTTGAAGACTACCACTATGTGGCATCACAAGGTGTTACAGCATTTTGAGCTTTGCAGATATAGATAGACTAATAATAAATTATTACTCAAACATGTGTGAATGAAACAAAATACAGCTACGAGTATGTTTTTGATGGGGTATTACAGCATCATTTAAAGGTCGCAAGTCAATTTTGCGTAATATAGGACCTTTAAGCCTCACCAGTGTCCAGAGGATTCATTTCTCCTTTTTTAGATATAGAAACATTCCTGAAGCTCATGTACAACGTGCTGACCAGCGTAGCCTCCTCGTGCATGGAGTCTTTACCCTCCCGATGACGCCTGCACAAGAGCGTCAGCAGCCTTTTGGGGAACTGGCCACTAAACGCGAGGTAAATGCAGGGATTCGCGCAGCTGTTCAGACTCGCCAGCAACATCAGGATGGTGAAAGTAGCGGCTGAAACGATAGAAAAGATGCACAAAAGTAATTTCGCCATTTGCACATTTGTTATGGAATGATACACGTAAGATAGAGCTGCGCGTAATCTTTGCGTAATTTGGCATGTTTGGCGCTTTGGTCTTGTGCGTAAAAGTATGATGACACATTCGTACTGCACGTTTTTCAAACACCACTCATTTAGAGGGAATATAAACTACTTAACATTGTATTCATGTCTTAAGTAAACAAATATATGTGAAAATATGAGGCGAAATTTCCGTTTTTTAAGGCTATGCGTAAATGTGAATAACTCGCTATAATGACACAATTATAGTGTCACACTATAACTAGAAGTGTTGTTTCTAACTATCCAAATGAACACCAAAACAATGCAGTAGGCTATACCAGCTTCTGTGGGAATTTATCAATGTGACTTTGGCGTTAAACATTAACCAAATATGGAGCGAAGCCTGACTTACTTTCTTTAGGTGCGTTGCTGTCCCACGCGGACCACAGCTGAACGGTGAAGAAGGGCGCCCAGCAGATGATATAAGCCAACACTATCACCACCGTCATCTTCAGTGTCTTCACTCGAGCTTTGGACATCCCAGCCACGCCGCTTGCTCTGTGCGCCAGCGGAGCTTTTTGGTACAAGTTGATCTGAATGGCACGACATATGCGCACTTGGCAAATCATAACAGTAATCACAGGCAACACGAATATAACCAGCGTGGTCCAAGTGATGTAGGTCTGTAGTCCCCATGGCTGGATAAATGTGGCCCAGCAATCAAAAACTCCTGGTTCAACTTCGATTTGGGAGAAAATAAAGATTTGCGGAACGCTCCCCACAAAAGAGATACCCCACGCTACACATACGGAGACGTTGAAGCGCGTGCGAGCTCGTTGGAACTTCACCATCGGGTTACACACGGCTTGGTAACGGTCCACGGTCATCACAACGATCATATACGTGGAAGAAAACATGCCAAGAACTTGTAGATACTTGACAAGGCGGCAAATCAAGTCCGGGCCAACAAATCGGTCGGTAATGTCCCACAACAGCTGGGGGCAAACTTGGAAAAATGCCACCACTAAATCCGCGAGGCACAGGTGAAATACAAACACACGCATCCTGGTCATCTGCTTTCGCTGCCGCCACAGGACGCACAGGAGCGCAGTGTTGAGGATGGCAGCGCTCACGAAAATCACACCGAGCAGCGTGATCTCCACCTTGGCCAGATACTCATCCCGGGGAATGTACTCCGGGAAGCCACTGCCGTTGACTGAGTGCATTGTTCACAGCGCTATATGGTCACACTGTACAAAAAAAAATGTAATTGCATCATATAGTTTAGTTTGCAATGCAATCTTATAATTTTACTCTTGTGAGGCCCACTGGTTAGGAGTAGTTCGTCTCTGATCTCTGAAATTGCACTGATCTGGATTACACTTCTCTAGTGAGAGAGCTTTTTATGTAAGGAGGACCCTGGGAGGAGCTCCACTTAGTCCTGCACTGTATCAAGAGCTGGTGACAGAATGAGATTTATTTAAAAACTAATCCAATCCAATAATGTTTATTTTTTACCTATGTTTCTAATCTACCAAAAACCACATTGTCACAGTGTAAGCTACTTCTCGATCACCTGAGCCACAAGCCACAGCATACCCTGTAAGTCTACATGGTACTGTATGTAGCATTGTGTTTTTTTTTTCATATTTTATAATAAAAGTTGTAATTATGCTTACTTTATTACAGACATTGGAGTGACCTGTCTTCCTGAAAAAAGTTGTGTTTTGTCATGTCACATGCCTGTGCAGTGGTTCCAGGTGTCATAGCTACCACCAGCACTTTAGATACAGACACAGCACCTCTCTATTTGAGACACACAACAGAAACTGCTCACTCATTATCAAGCATCTAAAGTCTCAAGACAACAGCATTTATAAACGTAAAACCAAGAGCCAAAATAATAATAAAAAAAACAACAACATAAAAACATGGTTATTTTACTACGCAAGATTGAATGGTAAGAGATTGCATTATGGATAGCCTATATAGTACTTTGAATTACTTTGTGTATGAATTGTCCTATACAAATAAACTTGCCTTGCCATAGCCTATGATTATTTACATGTCAACCAACTAATCATCAAGTTAGAGTGTATTGCTGGATTTCAGATGACATCACCACATTCTACAGTTTAATTTAATAGCTCAACAATAATCAATCAGAAAAATTGGCTCCTACCCTCCAAGTGGGATGATGGCTTGCTGGACTATGACAAAACGTCCACTGTCCTGATTTTGAGCAAGACTGGAGATTTTAACACTTTCATTCAAACGCTACAAGAACAGATTTGAGAACATAATCCAGTAACTGCTTTAAAAGTTTACAGGAGTCCTTTAGGCCTTTTGGCTGTGAACTTAATTTGACCTGACAGACTAATAAAGGATTACTCAAGCATGTGTGAATGAAACAAAACACAACTCTAGATATGTTTTTGATGAGGTAATAGTATTGTAACATGGTTTAAAGCTCAAAAGATCAAATCAAATTTGTGTAATGTAGGACTTTTAAGATTATGGAGACATAAGCAATCTATATTTTAATCATTTTATTTAATACAATATTTTGGTGTATAAATGTCACTACTGCACAAATTGCATATTAAAATGGTTACTTTTATATGTTTATGATAACCCTACAAGCATAAAGAATATGTTTTACCTTTTTTTTGCTCATATAGTTTTTAGACTTTAGGGGGGCCACCATACTCTCCTCTATTAATGGGAGACACTAGATACAGTCAAATCTGCCTAGATCACATTAAGATTGGGCTAAAAGTGGTAGGTTTTACTCCAAAGCAACTCTCTCCATTTGTCCAGGCTGGGAACTGGCACAAAGGGACACACTGGGCCCTTTGTGGCTGGATTAGGCCCACCAACTGTGCTAACTGCATGCAGAGACATACAACAAATTGCAGCCCAGCCTTTGAGGGATGTTGACCTGTGAGAACTAGTTAAGGTTATGTGAAACAGTTTGATTAGGTCTGAAAGAAGACATGTCAAAAGAGTCAGTGTTACAAATTACAACCACAAAAACAATTCAAATTCAACACACATTTGAACCACTTCGGGCCCAAAACAATTACCATAAACAATAGCAATAGCACCACAACACTATGATATTTATTAACCTTATGTAAACCTAATGTCAGTCTCAAACCCAAAGGTGAATTTTGAACTATCACATGTTAATACAATGTTCAAATGGAAGTGGAAAAAAGTGGAAGAGAATGAAAGAAAATAAAAGGTAAGGGCCAGAGCCCGCACACTTAAAAATAAACTTGTGCAAATCAGTTAGACAAATTCTGAGCAGACAAAAATACCTTCTTAAAAACCCCAAGATTGTGAGTTTTATACCTAATTTGAACTCTAAATGAACATAGAAATTAACACCAGTTCAACATGGGTATGTGTTAGTTCAGAATAAGCCATTTCAGTGGTTCAATGGTTTATACCAGCTGAGGCCCACACCAAACACAATACAAGGGTAAAAAAAAAAAAAAACACAAAACAAAACAAGCTGTGGAAATTATGGTCTAAAATTCAGATCTGGTGCACATTCAGATAATATCAAGAGAGTATGCAGTCTTCGTACAATGTTTAGAATCTGTCCAACATTTGGACCAGTTTAGGCCCAAAACCAAAACCATAGACTAGGGGTGTCAAACATACAGCCCGGAGTCTGGATCTGGCTCTCCAAGACCTTTAATCTGGCCCTTAGCTGATTTTCTACTAGAATATTTTAATTATGTTTTCTATTAAAATATTAGTAATTTTCCAGTGCCTCTGTGCGTGGTCGTCTCCCACCAGAGCAGCACAAATGAAGACTTGCCACTTTCCAAATGCTCTTAAAGGACTATCGTTTTGACTGTTGACTGTGACACCCTCATCAGCAAAATGTCAAAAAAAAAAAAAAAAAAAAGCCAAAAAAAAAAAAAAAAAATTGTGTTGGGATTGCATTTTTCTTAAAGTTTCAGGATGTTCATAATATTATAATATTTTGTAAAAGAAAGATTAAAAAAGATTTCTGTAATAGATTTGCACACATATTTGAACTTATTGCTATTTTTGGGGTATATATGACTTTTTTTTTTTTTTTTTTTTTCGGCCCCTTTGGTATTAAAGTAGGTTGGATACGACCTCCGGACCAAAATGAGTTTGACACCCCTGCCATTGACAATATCATTAGGACCATCAAAATATTCAGACCTTGAAATGCACCTCCCTGGATTAAAGTCTGCATGGACAGAACTAATATAACATGTAGAGCGTGGAGCAACTTTACGCACAGCCACTCTAACCAGCCTTACTTCAACCAAAAGTTCCAAACGAAGACACTTCAATATTAGGCTACTGTAATAGGGATTTCGCATCCACAAACAACCAGTTAGTTTACCTGTCCTCTTCCATATCCATGTCTGATGTACCGACGTGTGTGGTGATCTGGACACTGCTGCACTCAGTTGGCACCATTTATTAAGTGTTCTTTTCTAGTAAATGCGTATAATTTTGGGAGCAGTTGCATTTCTAATATATTAATTCATAATATATATTGCAAACCAAAAAACATTTTCACCTTTGTCAGCTTAACCAATCACACAAGACAACTGACGCAACGTAACTTCAAACCGGAAGTGATTGTGTAAACAGAACAGAGAAAAAAGTACAGTCGCGGAGATGTAAGAAAACTTGTTTAATAGTGCGTTTCTTTTCTTTTTATGATGTAATATATATTCAAACGTGTAAAATAACTATGAAGCTACAAATGTACATCAGCCTTTATTAACATCTTTGCTTGGTTTATGCAGATAGCTTAGCACTCAATAAGTAGTCTCAGTTTGTGCTAACGGCTAACCTGTTAGCTTTAGACAACATGCCGCAGGACGGGGAGTCTCTACCGCTGGTCCGCTCTTTGAACACCAGGATTCCGGTCAGTGCTGTTTTCTGTAACCATACTTCTCGTGTGGTACGACCGCTGTGGGTGGACTTCGATGGACAACCTCGGCCCTACCACGACATACAGCCAGGCATAGGAAGAAAAATGTGCACATTCGTAGGTAATAACGATGACGCATTTCTTTAACAAATGCAATGGCAATCTAGTAATTTTTTATTTTAACTAAGGTCATATTTGTGTGTTTGGGGTTCAGGTCACCCGTGGGTTTTCAGAGATGCGGAAACGGATGACCCCTTGAAAGTGAATAGCAAAGAACTGTTTCTCCCCACACCAGCGACCAGTGGAAACCCTACAATGGCAAACATCACTTTACCAGGTGTCCCATATTTCTTTAGGGTGACCACAGCTATTAGGGAAAATGTATTAGATCAATAGACACTACATTTCATCACAATTTCAGTGTTTTTGTTGGCAAGACTGATTTTCGTATCACGTTTTTCCACAGTTTACACACTGAAGGATCGTGCTCTTCAGGTGATACGCCGACTGGTCAGACCGGAAGACTACAGGAGCTTAGATATTGCTCGCTGTCTACATGAGGAGCTGGAGGACAAGCCCAGTACAGTGAAGGACCTGATGCGCATGAACCAACGCGTGGAACAGCATCTTCTGGACACTATACAGGGCAGGGAAGGGACATGAGGGAAGACATAGAATGTGAGGACAGTTTGAACTTGAACTGGGACCAAAAACAGTTGAATGACTGATATATCTTTGCAATCTTCCAAGACATACTTTTTACTATATTTTTTTTATTTGATAAATGGAAAAATGCTTTGTATCAGATTGTAAAAACATTGTTTAAATAGATTAGCATTAATAGATGTATTATTATTTTAGAAACATGCGTCTCTTTTCAATTTGTACTTAAATTTAATAGGATAATATATATGTATGTATTATGTATTATGTATAAATTATACACTGAAATTTACCTCTTTATTTATTATTGAAAGTGGTATAAAATGTGCATTGAGGCATATAATGGGAGCAGGATTGTTGACAAATGCGTTGCTAAGGGACAGTTGTAACTGAAGACGTGTCTTTCTTGGTGCACTGCATTGAAGAGTAGTCGACCTACAAAATGCAGACTGTGGACAAGAAAAAAACATGGGATTCAAAACGCTTCAGACAGGAGCAGTAAGTCATTGGAGACTGTGACATTTGTACATGTTCAGGATTATGTTTATTTGCACTTAATGTTAATATTCACTGTATCTCAACATCCTTCACCAGTATGACAGTTTGGCCACGGACTCACCCAGTTGTTTTTCCTCATCTTCAAACTGATCACTGGACCAAGATGAAAACAAGGGTGAGAATAAACAGTTATACACATTCAGTACATGGTGTACCTTAAAAGATAACCCAATACAAGACAAGTCAAATGGAAAAAAATGACTCTTTCAGTAAGCGCTTGTTAGGTAACTTGGGCTGGAAACTATTTTAATTTGAAGAATGACAAATTTACACACTGTTGTAGTGGTTTTGTAACTATTTATGCTACACAGGCACCCGGTTACATATCAACACTACCTACTACTTTACTGAAGAAGACCGGTTTGTTAATATGATAAACCTCACAGCTAAGATTGCTGCCAAAAAGAAAGTCTGGAGTTTATAATTTGGAATACTGTTTTCACAGGTACTTCTACGTGTGAATCAATTGAAGGAAACAAGAGCACATTGCCCCCTCTGACAATGGATTGGAGTTATCAACCAGAAATGATTATATCCCATAGTAAGTCATTAGGGTCAACAATACCTCTAAGCACATAAGAAAATACACGTATCAAGTAGCAACAAAACACTCTGGGTTTATATACCAGATGTCCAGTCAAGTACAAAACTTGAACTCAACAAAGACCACACCAAACCTTGAATCATATAACGCTAAACAAAACCTAGATCTACATATATAATATGACCAAAAATATAAAACCTGATGTAACAGATACATTAAGGACTAAATGTTATGTGTAAGGACTTCTAAATGAACTGTACACAATGTACAGTTCATTTAGAAACTGTAAATATTCTAGCATCACCAGTAATTACATTATTACCACATAAGTTATAAACACTGCCTTTGCACATTTACCGGTATGTAAAATAGTCAGCTTCTGTTATGCCTTTCTTTTAGGTCCTACATCTATCAGGCCAAAAACCTCGTTTTCAATTTATAGCATGCCCCAGTACAGAAATGTTTACAATGATCGGGCAAGATTGGGCTTTTGCTACTGGCTCATTGAGAAGAAGGCTCCAACATGTAAGTAGAGATGCAAGCTCACAGCAAGTATCAAAGTAGTGCAATGTTCACATATATTTGTAACTGGACAACTAATCCTAACTTGTCATATATTTGACCTGTTACCAGTCGTCATATTATTATTATTTGTAGGCAGTGCAAAATGTCAAAGATACTCAACTCTGGTTAAATGATCCCAGGTCCAACATTTTAAAATACAAACTAATGATTTAAGGCTATTTATAAATATAATCAAGTCTTCTTCTGTTTTGTTTGTTTCCTCTTTCTCTCCTGCAGGTAAAAACTACAGCTTTGGTGCCTATAAGACCTTTTTGGGACTACCAAAAGTCTAACTTTATTCAAACTCTTGTTTAATAACCTAACTTGTAGTGGATTTACAATTCCCAAAATAAATGTTATTTTCATTCATTTCATGGCTGTGCATCACTCTTATGCTATGTTTGATCACTTGTTGTGGCTGTGGTATTTTTTGTATGTACTCACATGTAAACACTTTATTATCAAAAAAATCAAAAAGTTTCTTTCCTGCATTAACTTAATTTTTGAAAGAAACCGAAAATCTCGCGATATCTCCTTAATTGCGTTAACATTAAAAAAAAAAAAAAAAAAAAAAAAATTCAAATTTCACGGTTATGTAAAGAATGCGACACGGATGCGTTGACAAACACAAACAAACAAGCAAAAAACAAAACAAAAAACCCACAAATTTCATTTTTCGCCTCTCATTTGCATCGTAACTATCGCAGACGGCGGTCGATGCTATCTTGGCTAACAGCTAACCAACTCCTCGGCTCAGTGTCACGTCTTCTACGCCGCGAAAAAGGTATAGTTTTAAAAGTAAAATCTTTCTCACTTTATAAGTAAAGTCTCACATATTCACAAGGTCTAACCATACAGCTAAATAAACCCTGAAATAGGTCATCACGCTTTTGGAATTAAAAGTGAACTTTGTGTAAACTTATTAATTGGGGCAATGCTAGCTCTTAATTGGCTTATTTGGAGCACCTTGCAATTTTATAAAGGCACTGCTGAAATGAGATAATTACACTATTTCTTGTATGCCAATATATGGACTTTTCATGATATTTATGAAAATGCATGATTTTGTGTTCGATTTGGCAAAGTACTGTGTGATTCACTACAGATGGTGAGCATGTTGAGGTTTGGCTAGCTAACAGACGCAACACACCCCCCCAGCCACCGTGCAACCTCAAAAATGGATTAGTTAAATCTATTCGGTTCAAATCAGAGCAATGAGCTAGTTTGCGATTTTCACACAAGTAATGACTATAGTAAAATGTGTTAAATCATTGAATATACCATTAAAAAGAGACGGAGTACGAAAAATCAAAATCTGTGCACGTTTTTTGAATGACACACTGACATTTGTCTCGTCTAACCTATGACCTTTTGTTCAATATTTGGGTTAAGACTGCAAATGCTCTGCTACGTACAGTTCAAATACCAAAAAATATGAATTTTATGTTTCATAAATACGATGCTAGAATGCTTGTGTTTGTTAACAATGCAGTGCTTGAGTTGTAGTTATTCAGTATCTAATATTGTTTCTCAGACTGTGGTAGAAGTACCATTGGTGGTACGTGGAGTCCTATGTAATGAAATACGTTTAATTTAATGACAGTGTATTCATATTTTTGTCCTTTTTTTTGTTAACCCTCTTTTAGAACAGTTTCAGACATGGTTTGGTAAATAAAAATAGCAGTTTCTGTCTTAATGTAGAACTGATGTAATCTTGATTACAGATGTGTTGGCACTTTGGAAGGCCAAATATTTTCTTAGGTGGTACTTGGAATGAGAAGTTGAGAACCACTTTTAATACTGTTCTGTTGTTGATCATCTTGTGTAAAGTTTGAAAAATTGTATTAAATGTCACTGGACCTTTACAACTAGGATTAAAAAACAATTATATCAATAAAGCAGAAGTGTTTTTTCTCTTTTTTTTAATTATCTATTTATTTAGGCCTTGCAGTATGGACAGTAGCAGCCGACAAAAGGTAAAGTTCAAGTGGCTGCGAACCATTGTGTGTCCAGGAGGTTCTCTCCAGGGCAGAGATGTCCCATCCACGCCCTCATCGTCTAGCGACTCCTCCTTCACTTCCCCCATCGGAGAGTCCCCAGGATCAGCTGCCTTTGGAGACCTGACCCTCTCCACACCCAAGAGAAAGCCAGACAGTGACAGCATGGCATCCTCCTCCAAAATCAAACTCCGGAAGCTCTCCAAAAAGCGCTTTGAGGCCTTGGCATCTCCTGAGGTAAAAGGCTGCTCTCTATGGCATTAGAAACATCATCAAAAGATGTTGAATATCTGTGAATGACGTAGCTCTTTTGAATGGTTCATTAATGTGAGTGGTTGGAACCGGATCTTTTTCTTTCTATTTTTTCTGCTTTTTTATACAAATTTACACTGAACCAACACAAGAATCAGCACAGAATCAAAGCAGGCAACACATGTGAGAGCTTTGTGCACTAATAAACATTTACCATGATAATAACAGTTAGTTTTTTATTATTGATACTGTAGTGTAAAATTTTATTTAGAATATGTGTTATTTCAATGGGTAAACACACTCCCACTCTCAGTATGAACTTTTTTAAACAAATGTTAGCCTTGGTCAAATCTCTGATTAGTTTGTTATTTGTTTGTTGTTTTCACTTTGGCTTTTATCGTATCATAAGATTACTACACATTATTACATATTAAAAGAACCAGTTTTTTGAACGGCTCTTTAGCTCTTTTAACTGAATCTTTTGGATTTGTTCATTCCAACGTCCCATTACTACTAAATATGAGATTTGAATGAGGTTTGAAAAAAATGCCATATTAATAACTACATTTTATATCAATACCGAAAGCACAGATATAAATGCCGAAGTTGTTAATGGGTTTGAAAGAGAGATGTAATAAGACCAATATGGACTATTTTATATTGATATCTACGCTTAAACAGAACTTCCATGGAGTTACTGTTCAAAATTGTCAAACAAAAACTAAAGTAAGGACAAGATACTTGATACAAGATATAAGATACTTTTATATGAATATGTTAGATGGTGATACAGTCGCTAATACTTTACCACGACCAAATATGGAAATGAAAATCAACCTTGAGTTATATAAGGTTAATGAAGCATTCAGTTATTCTTGCTAAAATCATTTGATCACATCCCATCTAATTTGGTTCTCGGTTTCTTAAATGAGGAATTTTCACTAATCACTAATGTCATCACTCTATATTAATTAATTGATAATTAAGGGATTTCGAATGTTTTGCTGCCTCACCACTTGACTTGTTTTAATTCAAATCAATATGCACTTTTTTTTTATTCTGTAGGAGCCAGCCATTGACAAAACTCCTCAAAAGTCAGACACAAATTCCCAACAAGAAACCCTGTCTCTGTCTCACTCTTTTGTTTTGAAAAGAAAAGAGCGGACACCCGAAGAGGGCTCTAAAGCCATCTACAAACATGCCCTCATGGCTGCTATTAGCAACATAGGGGCGAAGAAAAGTGCCAAGAAAGAGCTACAGTTGTGCCCACCAGAGGAGACCAGCCCAGTGTCTGTGGAACTGAACACCGTGGATTTAAATGGAAATGGATTAGGAGTGCCAAAGTGGTCCCCCCCAGCACTGATCCTGGACTCTGAAGATGATGATGGAAGTGCAGTAGCACACACTGAAAACAGGGTAAGTAAAACAGACACTGGCCATATGAGAGTTTTAATAGTGTTGTAATTAATTTTAAAACTAGAGAGAACTTTGACTCTGGTGTTATTGTTGCACTGTCATGATAACAAAGTGAGCTTATATTGCTGTAGGAAATATCACAATAAATGATACGATCATTTTGATATTACTTTATGCCGCAGACTCTATAACCCAAAAGCCATATAATCACAATAAACCCTTTTAAAAGTGATGACACAAAAGTTGCAAAAAGTAAGACCACATTGAATTAGTCACGTTATTTTGTTGTGTATAGTATAGTGTTGATATTTATAAACACTAACCAGTCATAAATGGATGAATAAGCAGATGAAACAACCTGAAGCAGTGTTACACCATTTTAATGCACTACATTAAAACAGTAACACACCGCACCTTGTTGTGTTAGGCCTCACTTATACCATTCTCATAAACATCTGCTCCATCATTTTCCAAATGTTTTTCACTGTTAACCTTTTCACAGCAGAAACTTGCTCACCCTCAAATGCAGTAAACATGACATTTATAATACATTAGAAATTTGTACAACCATATTTTTTAACTCTACATCAAGCATCAAATTCTTTCAAAGTTTTTCCCTTTTCAGATATATTTTGTTAAGAGCACATGAGGACTATTTATGAAAAGCTGTGTTCTTTCATGTCCATTCAGTTGTATCCATCCTGTATCCTCCAGTAATGTGATTATTTTTCACTTTTCAGAGCTTTATGCTAAAAGAAGATGGTTCACCAAGTACGTTTGTAACACCTACTGAAAGTCATGACTCATCCCCATCTCTGGAACCAATGCAATATGCAGACTGTTGTTTTTCATCCAATACTGAGAAAGAAGGTGACACTGCTACTTCTGACCAAGGAAGGGAAAGTTTTCTGTCTACAAATCAAAGTTTGACTGAATCTGAAAACTGGGAGACACCAGAAAGAACAGTCGTCTTTTCGTACGAAGAGCAAGTTAAACCTTTGTCAAATTTGTCAAACACCACTAAAACTGAGACGGACAAAACACAACCTCAGATTGTGACAGTCGTGGATCCGTTCGCTCTTCCCGTGCTCTCAACCAAACGAGTTCTCAAATCCCGAAGACAGTCTGATGTTGGCATATCAGCACACTACCCTCCTTACTCCTTTACTCAGTCCAGCACCCCTAAAAGAAGGTGGTCTATGGGGCCTGAGCCAGAGCGCGCTACATGTCCCACAATATACAGCAGCACCGGTTTCCTGGATACCCACTGCCATTTGGACATGCTCTACGGGAAACTTCACTTTAAAGGAAGTTTCAGCAGTTTTCGGAGGAAATATCAGGATAGTTTTGCGCCGGAGTTTGAGGGATGTATCGCAGATTTCTGCAACCCCAGAATTATGGTGAGGGAGGGCATCTGGGAGGGGCTTCTTGCGGAGGATATGGTTTGGGGTGCATTTGGGTGCCATCCGCATTTCTCCAGAGACTATTCAAAAACCCAAGAGAGAAACATCCTGGCAGCCATGAGACATCCCAAAGCTGTGGCATTCGGAGAGATTGGACTCGACTATTCCCACAAGAACTCCACTGACTCCTCCCAGCAGAAGAAGGTACCCATTAGAGCAATGCAGTAGTGAGATATGAATCATGATCAAAGAACTAATACAAACAGGTACAATAAATTCTCTTGAATGGCATGGATGCTTGTTTTTCCCTCAAAACCTTGAGGAAATCACTTATTTCATTTAATTGATTTCACTTATGACCCCAATAATCACTATGATTTTTCCCATAATCAAGCAGCAAACTGTAAGATGTCTTTTGCATTTTCAATTTTGTATATTGTAATAATATATATTTGATTGGCTATATACCTTTTTAAAATCTTTTAATTCCACATAAAATTTGTTGGAAGTAGTAGGAGTTATCAACCTATAGATAATATATTGAATTCAGTTTCATAAAATGACTATTTAAAAAATCTTTTTTGTATATATTTTTTTTAATTTTATACCAATATAAGTCCTTCACCAAATCAGGCTTAACCTTTATACAGAATATGCATATAGTGGTCATGTATTTCTGTTTTGCGTAATTTCAGGTGTTGGAGCGTCAGTTGAATCTGGCCGTGGCAATGAAGAAGCCTCTGGTGATTCACTGTCGGGACGCAGATGACGACCTGCTGCAGATCCTCAAGAAGTGTGTCCCTAGAGACTACAAGATCCACCGGTCTGAGTCTGCTCTACTCTGAATGTGCTCTATGTCAATGGTCCCCAACATTTTTTTGCGTCACAGTTTTATGTCCGACAGTATTTTGCGTACAGGTGTACGGGAGGAGGCGCAGTCCACGCGGCATATGGGAGGAGGCGCGGCATGGTTTAGTCCTGGTTTAGTCATCGTTTAGTCCTGGTTTTAGTTGTAGTTTAGTTCTGGTGTAGAGGCGTTGCCCATGCAGCGTAGGAGAGGAGGCACAGTCCACGCAGTGTACGCTAGAAGAAGGTCCATGGGGGAGCCTCTACTGCAGGACTTAATGTTCACATATCACAACCTAGACATTGCTAGAGGGATTCAAATATGTGATCAAGTTTGATAATATTTTACACTTGACAAACCTATTTGTAGTGGGAGTTATAAAATTTTTTTTAAATATATATTCTCTCTCTTTATTTCTTTATAATAGCCAGACAATATTATAGACATTATGTGCTAAAACATGCCTATACATTTCATGGGTTAAGTATTAAATGTACAAACGGTAAGTTGGTTTTCTTTTTAACCTGCTCTTCTTAATATTTTCTTTGTAGAATAAATACTTGATCTAATTTTGCCGAACCAATAATTGCAGTATTATATTTTTTTCAGTACACCTCCTGTCACTAGTTGTTATATAATTTTACATTAATGTATTTATATAACCCACTAATAGGGCTCACAAAGTAGTTTGATGTCCCAAGACCTCCACATTTCATTTCAACTGCAAAAAAATGATGGTTCATGTATAGTTGTTTTGCTATGCTGAACTGAAATTACTGAAAATGTTTTTTTTCAGGCACTGTTTCACCAATGATTACCCAGTGATCGAGCCATTCCTGGAGGAGTTTCCAAACTTGTATGTGGGCTTCACGTCGCTCATCACTTACTCCAGCGCTATCGAGGCCAGACACTCTGTCCGAAAGATCCCCCTCGAACGCATTGTCCTGGAGACTGATGCCCCATACTTTCTTCCCAGACAGGTGCACAGCTCTGGGCACACATGTACTCTCAGAAGGATCATGGAGTAAAATAACAAATCAGGATTAATTACGACTTTTTCTTTGTTGCCTCTTAAAGATTAGGGTGCCTCCCCTTGAACATTGTAATTGTTGCCAACTGGCTACAATCAATATTACATAGCTAACATAAACTGACTGCATCATCTGCCAGACATTGTGCATATTTAAATGTTTGTGTACTTTTGAACAGTTTATGTAAGACAAATTTGATAAATGTATTTAGCTCCCTTCAAACTGTGATATTACTAGTCAAATTAAGGCTAGATAATATGTGAAATGTTGTTTCACAAATCCTGAACATAAGGGAGTCAAACTAAACTAAAAATTGTTATCAGTCCCATTCAATACAAAAGATAGTCTAATTCATTCTTTCAAAGTCTTAACTCTGCTCCAAATCTCATGCTTTTGCTGAGACGATTGGCTTTGGACCTATTGATTTTAAAAAGGTACAAGCTGATTATTAACACTTTGTAAATTCATTACTTGCACTGTTCTAAATTAAAGTATTTGTAAATTATTTTAAAAATATAATACTACTAAATTAAATATGAACATTTGCCACTTGTGTGTTGACACTGCATTACTTTCTTGTTCCAGGTGAGTAAAAATGTGTGCCACTTCTCTCACCCCGGGATGGGCATTCACACTCTGCAGGAGATCAGCCTTCTTAAGGGAGAGTCCATGTCCACTGTCCTCGGTACCATTCGGCAAAACACACATCAGCTCTATGGAATCTAAGCCCCTGTAATATTTTATGTACAGTTTTGTTTTAATGCACTTGTTTCCCTATATTCTGTTTATGTGCATTCTCAAATTATAATTTTAACAAGTTGAACATTGAAAAACTGCGTCCTGTTTGGCGTTCAGTGTATAAGTGTCTTAATGTTAAAAAAGTGATTGATATCTAGTTTTATGCTCATGCGTGTGGTGTTCTCGTTTGTCTTGCATGGCCGCTGTGAAACATGGAGCAATTTAATACAGTCAACAAATTGAAAGCTTTTTTTCTTGTCATTCATTATTGCAGTATTCTTCAGAATAATATTATTCTATGATCTCGTAGCTAAACCCAAGTGTAAAACAAATATGCACAATGCACAAATATTTGAATTTGTATTTTTATTTGATTAATCGATAAAAAGACAAATTTAGAAGTAAAAACAAGTAATTTCTATTTTATGTGAAAAGTAAACCTAAACATATAGGATGATCTTGACAGCAAATAAATTCTGTATAGAGTACAAAGCATTTTTAAGCCACCCAGAGAAACGTGCATTGTTGACTTGTTGGTGCACAAAAACATTAAAATTTACACAAATTAACTTACTTTATATAATATTTTAGAGGCAAGACTTTTCTTAAATTGTCCATTAAAATGAATATATCTGCCATTTTTTAAAAGTATTTTTAGCATCTTCACATCTCCATCGGTTAACAGGCTAACAGAAAGTTTTGTTAGGTATGACGATAGGATCTCTACAAGCCAGTAGAGTACAGTAGAGCAAGTAGTTGACGGTTGCCATAGCAATTATCAATTCTAAGACAAAATGTGTTATATAAACCTTTGAACGGTGAAAATCCCTCAAAATGTCTCCTCAGGACACTGAAACCATAAATACTCCATTACTACCACTCTACACAGCTGGAATGTGGGGTTGCTCTCTCTCTAAAAGCATCATGGGAAATGGGTTCAATTTTCTGATGTGCTTTTTATTTATTTGAAGAACTTGAGTGACATTTTTGTCGAAGAGGCCACTTAAAGTTTCTGAACAAACCTGGGAAGATGTTTGCTTCAGCTTTTGACAAGTTTAATGGACATTTCACACTGCAGAGATTTCTTTGGAAATGGGTCACTGTTCGTACAGATGATGTATATTTCAGATAATAAAGACCTCTCAGGACAGAAATACCTGTAAAAGGGTTATGCGTGCAATGAATGAGGCATCGCTGCTTTGACCCACTTTCTTGATTCTGTATTATTAGAACCGGATGCTTAGAAACATCTAGAGTTACTGTGTACTGTTTATCGCAGGCTAATTTTGTATATATATCTTATTGCCTTGCAATGAAGGTTTCACATTGTGGCATTAAATATATATTAAATACAGTATATACATATATATAAGTATATATTTCCATGAGGACAAACAAGCAGGTGACGACACCAGGCCAATTTACAAGTGAGCAAAAAACAGTGATAATTGAATAAATGTAAGATAATTTTGATGTCATACTGTGGAACATTCTAGGCAAAAGCGATAGATCTCCATGGAAACAAGCAGGTGCTTGGCTCCCACCAGAAACATTACACACTGCACCTTCAAAACAAATAAATAGATCTAAAATATTAGTTTGTAGTTTGATTATTTAGAAGTGATTTAAAACTAAAGGACAAGAGGTACTTTAAAAGATTCAAAAATAAGATTACTCATTCGTGCTGCTCAACAGAGATTTTAATGCTTTGCTATTAGCACAAAGAATACAACATACATCAATACATGAACTGTTAGTGACGAAGCCAATAGAAGTTAATGTAGCCTATAGCAATGGTTAATTTATTATTTTGATTTGACAGTATTTTGAAGTTATAAATCTAACATCTGAATAATCAATAAATGCAGAAAAGGTAGGTTTAATTCATTAAGAGTATGGTTAACATGTTTGTCAGTTGTTTGGACCTGAAGGTGCAGCTTCTCCAAGCAGATTTTTAAGAATACGCTGAAGTATCTCTGTAGTAGCTCCATAATTCTCAAAGTCATGTTCGTTAAAAGTGAAGCCGAGCTCAAATGGAGCAGATATCTGTGCACAAAACAACAGATTTACATTTACTGATCGCTGTTAAATTAATATATCAGAAAATTATATATTTAAGTATCATGATGTTAAGAACACCTCAAGAAGGTTCAACAAAGAATACAAATGAACTACTGTTGCTACTATTTTTTGTTTATAGCTTAATATCTCCATCAACTTTTCACCAAATATATTTAAAGGTCCTATATTAGGCTATTTTCTGATCTGTTATATTATTTTCTCATCACAGACATACCCAGAGTTGTGTTTTCTTTCATTCACACATGTTTAACACACAAATCCCGCATTTAGGCTGAGTTCTTCTCTCAAACATAAAACATTCTGTTCCACCTTGTGATGTCATATGGTAATACAGAAAGTTCTCCACTGTGTTTTTAAACTCCATACACCTAGAATCATTTGGATAATTTCAGCCCTGGTCAATTGCCAATCTCTACTGATCTAAAGGTAAAAGGCAGCTGTTATCTTCTATCTTCTTATCTATCTACTACCACTACATGACATCACAAGGTAGTGTTAGGATAAAAAACTAGGCTTGGGTGGTGTATAACTACTGCTATGATGTTATTGATGTACTGCTATATTTTATTATTGTACTATTAGAATTCACTATACAATGACCCAGAAAACAGGGACTAGATTACAGATAAAGGATGCAGAGATAGGTTCAGTTCATGTAAAAGATATTCTATTTCTATCTATATGTCTAATCAATTAACTAAATAGGGCAAGGACTTATTGATAGGGATATGCTGACTCACGACTCATCACCCTGGTCAGACCAGCAAGACGCTCCCGTGAGGGGAGTGTGATGAATCCGGGGGATCCTTGTCAGAATCGGACAAGATTGTGCAACGTGCCAAGAGGCCTGGCTGCACCAACGAAGAGGCACTAAGTCTAAACCATGGTCGCCTCCCACTATAGTTTGCATATAAAAATCATTGTATAGGTGTAAATATTCAGTCTCTGCATGGGAATGTCAGCACAGACTCCTTGTACAAGTATGACTTTGGAATAAGTAAATTATCTGGACTTTATTTCTGTTTCAAGTGTAATTTTTTGTCTAATCAGAAACTAATGAACACGAGAGGAAAAGGGTTATTTCCTCAACAGTAGAAAAGAGCATTTTGAGCTTTGGAAATGTAGACAGACTAATAATGCAGGATTGCCCAAACATGTGAGAATGAAACAATACATACAGTAACTCCAGGTATGTTTCTGAAGAGCTAACAACATTATAACATAGTATAAACTCACAAGAGTCAATTTCAAGTAATATAGGACCTCATAGTCACCAGATTGTGTAAATCTATAGATATTTCTACTCACTTGGAAGTCATTGTCTGCTGTGGGTTGACCAGGTCCTTCACCAGTTTGACGGCCAACTCTGGATTTCACCCTCATCTGTGACACAGACACAGATGATAAATACATATAATGCATGTCTTTTGTTGTTGTTGTTGTTTTTTTTGAGCTACAAAAAACCCTGTAATTAAATCAATCTAATGCCACACTGTGGAATATTCCAGTCATTAAATATCACTCAGTTTTATATGGTATTTATGTATAGTAACATTTACAACACACTTTTTATACATTAATTTTGCACTTCACATTAGTTTTGCACTTATCTCAGTTGTCAGTCGCAAAGCCGTTAATATATAAATTAGCCTTCAGTACTGTAGCCTATTTTTAATGCAGCATTACTGATTATTGACTATTTTTATTCTAAATATAAATTTCGCATAATATCTTCGCCCATACCTGAGGCTTATGAGAAGGGCTGAGATAACTGGATCCTGCAGACGCCATTTTGCACCAAGCAGTCAAAGAGCAAAGCAAAAAGGCTACAAGGTAAGTGTTCCTCTGGAGAAACATGGTGGATCTCTCCTCTTCAAACAAAATGAACTCAGTGTGGATTTGCACTGTGCAGGCTATTTATGTAGGATTGAACTGGCTTGAAGAAGCAATACCATATCTTCATATTAACATGTCATATACAGAATAGTAGATTTTCTTGGTTACACTGGACTGTTCAAATGTTTTCCAATTGATAACAGATGGGGAATATTTCTGTATTGCTGGAACATTGAGTAATAGCAAATCTGCCATAGAGATAATCATGGAAAATTACTATCTCAATGGCATGAAAATGTTGTCTCAACAGAATTAGTTTAAACATGACGACAATAGTGTAGTAGTGTAGTATCATGTTTACAGTATATATATATATATATATATATATATATATATATATATATATATATATATATATATATATATATATATACACACACACACACACATACATACATACATACATACATACATACATACACACACACACACACACACACACACATATATGTATGTATATATATTATATTTATATATTCATATTTATTTATATATGGTCAAAATTACCATGAACAGATGAATTTACTGCACGTTTACAACGTCTTAATAACCTCTGTAATGCCGCGTGAAGGCAATACTCCAGTTGACCGCTTGTTGGCGATAGCAGCACCTGACTGTAGAAGGCGCAGTAGAAGCAGTGTAAGTGTTCCCCATATGAAACTGTGACACGTTTAACACCCAATTGATAAAACATGGATAAAAAGAAACCTTTTTCCGTAACAGCATCATCGGTAAGTTCCGTACAGTCGCTTTAGATGTGGCTAAAAATCTGAATAAATCTAGTTCCCTGAAACGGTTATTAGATGAAATATTATTAGACTTGCTACCGTGATGCTAACACTGCTAACATCAACATGTTGACAAAGTTAGGGACAGTTTTCATTCGAGTTGACTTTTCTACTTCTAAATATTTGTCATATTTTAATGAATATGTTTTATTCATCAGCTGGTGGACCTAAAAGCAGAATTATACAGAAAACAGGAGCAGTTTAAGCAAGAAAAACTCGCTCAAGTAAGTGGTGGAGCTGGAAGCAAAGTCAAAGAGAAATTTACCACTAAGGTGAGTGTGAAGTCATAATAATTGATGCATATATATATATATATTACACATACATACTAAGGTTGCCAAACAGATGTCTTGTGATCTTGTAGAAACCTTCTGTGTGGAGTAAACAAAATGCAGGCGTTTCAACCAGAGCTCAGAAAGATGCAGAGCAGTTGGCAGAGGAGCAGGACAACCTCAATGCTGCAAGGTGAGGAAAAAGACAAAATATTCAATATACAAACCTATAATCTTTTTTTTAAGTTAAGATGTTAATGTTGCATGTCGTTTGGGGTAAAATTATTACAGCGTGTGGCATTGTTTTATGTTATTATGTTATTACAGATAGTTCCCAAATGTTATTACCGTGGTGTAAGTTCTAAGCTTTTAGCTGATAAAATGGAGGGGGGTACTGTTAGTAATGTGTACATGCTAAAATTTGCATCTTTCCAAAAAAAGTCCAGAGTTGCTATAAAGAAGCAGACTTGGTAACTATAGAGCTCTGTGTTGTGCACAAGGAACATGTCACCTCCTGACCCTGCTCTCCACATTAACCACCTGCTTGTCCCCATACCTGCCAAGAACTGCCTATTTTTGGACCACTTTTGAACTTTTTTTGGACTCACCTTTGGTTTTGGGGGAAGAGGGCTCTTGCTTAGGCATTTAGTTATTATTTAAACCATGGAATATAGAAAATAGATATTGGCCCATATGAATTTGATCCTCCAAACCTCTCTGAATATGTTGTGCATAGATTAGTTAGAATACCACCATAGTCATCTTTGTATAGGAATTGCAAAGATTTGACCCTTGGTGAATTTCAGCTTTACACTACTTTTATTGCATTTAAATGAAGTGATGAGTGATGATTATAAAGTGTATTTCATCCCACTCCTTTTCGAGTGAAAGTGTTTTTGACAGATTTGACAAATACTTGGTCATTGCTGAATATTGGAAATGTACACATTTTCTTTGTTCATCCTCAAAATAAACTAAACTGTAAGCTATACTGATAATGGATGTTTTTTTTTTTTACTGTTTTTACTTCTCTAGGCACAAATTGGAACAAAAGGCAAAACTGTATGAGCAAATGTCAAAAGGAGATTTACCTGGTAAATCAAGAAGATGCATGTTCTGAATTATTATTTTTTTTTACTATTTCATTTTAACTAATCTGTGTGCATTTCTTGTCAGATGAGGAAACAGAGGGGCTGTTTCTGGTCGACTTCACTCAGAAGATAATTGATAAAAAGAAGGAAACCCTCTCACAGCAGGAGAGACAGAGGGAGATGGAAAGAGAGAGGGAGCGAGAGAGGAAAGAAGAGGAAGAGGAGGAGAGAGAAAGCATGTTACCGATCCCTGCTCCTGAAAACCCAGATGAGGAATGGTAATGTTATACTTTTAAATCTATCAGTATCGATCAGTGTTTTGCAGCAGTATTTCATTAAGAGATAAGTGATATTTATTTGATATAGTTTAATATAACGTAATTAGGCTCAAGTCCCAAAATCAGTTCTGGAGGCCTGTCACGATAACAAATTTTGAAGTGTAATATAATGTTACAGAAACATCACTATAAAATATACTGTATTGAAACTGTCACTAAACAGTATTAGTGGATTTAAGCAAGGATGTGGTCCCAAAATAAGAAGGTCTTGGTAGGTTTATTTATCTAGCCTGTTTAACTGAACTTGTATATGCTGTAAATGATCGCCACCTACTGGGTGTTTGTGGCTACTACAATGTTCGCTCAGTTTGCCGTAATGTTAATGAAAACTTGTTACTGGTTTTACTGAGTGGAACAATTTGGTGAGCTTAAATTTGGTCCTAATCGTTTTTCACGTTGATGCTTGCATACCATTCATTGTTCATCTTTTTTGATACTGTTACAGTCACTTATAGGAAATAGATAATAGTGAACGTAGTAATCGCACAGCTTAATAGTTACTGTCCGGTGATGTTTACAATGGTATATCCATTTCAGCGACTGCACATTTCTTACGATTTTTCCTTAAACATGTGAAGGGGGGTGCACCGTTCCTGGAGGTACTGCAATACCAGGTCGATGCGTGGAGTGGACGGAGCAAGCCCCTATTCCATCTCCCAGTTCCAAAAATCAATTTAATATATGGTCCCCGGGTAGGGGACGTATCAGATATTAAACTGATAAGAACAGATACTACACTTGATCTTAGCCAAAAGGCCGAGAAGCGATAACGTGAAATAGTTAGAGTCTCTGAAGCCATCCTGTACCATGCCGACCTCACTCATGGTTCCAAATACGTCAAAACGAACAATTCAAATTTTACGAGTTCCAGTGGATTTACAGTGAAGACTCAAACCTAACCATTCAGGTGCGCCCATTTGGAACTCATAGTTAACTACAAAAGGCGCAGTTTGAGTTTTATTCAGCAAAGGCGTGTAGAATGATAGCGTTTGTAGGTCACGTGGTATGCCATTGGCCAATAACATTCAAGGGAATTAAATAACCCGTTAAAACTGAATTACTTGATTAAATGGGCAGATCTTACTGGATTTGTCAGATGTATATATGCGCGCGATGTTAACGTGGCTTCTAGTGTTCTTGGTTTTCTTTCTGTGTCGATGAATTTGTCCTGTGCTACACGTGGCTCTCAAGAACGAGTGGTAGGCGCCCCCTAGTGTTCGCAAGGTATTACTGTGTAGCTTTTCTATTGGAGTTCTGAAACGGCTTGAAGCGTGTATGAGCGCTTTCTTTACTTCAGTAGTTTTCTTTAAAATCAGCACAGTTAGGAAAATTTATCTCTGAACATTACCTTTTGTTATGTGTTTCCAGGGTGGACTATGTGGATTCTTTGGGACGATCTCGAAGATGCATGAAAAAAGATCTGCCTAATTTCCAGAGAATGGACCTGGATTTGAATACAGGGTATTTAAAACAAGAATAATTAAAGATAAATGATGTGTTTTCAATCAATACAGATTCTTCTCAATAGTCTTGTTGAAGTAACAAATTATATCATCATCTTTGCTTCTTTTATTGCACAAAACTGATAAAATAAATAAAATAGGCTCTTATGTGCCACAATTCTCATTGCTGAGATGATACATTTTGTGTATAGCTTTATCAAATTTGATTTTTGTTGTGTCAGAAAAGTTCCTGATGATCAGAAGACGCTGCTTTCAGAAGATATGCGGCGAGAGTTACAGAGAAAGGAGTGGGAGAGAGAGGAAGAGGAGGCAATGAAGAGGCCAGTGGGACCAATCCACTACGAGAACATCAGAGCACAAGGTTTCAAATGTTGATCCTACAGTTATAGTCTGACTATTTGGATATATTGAGATGAACAGATGCCTGTAAAGCCTACAGACTTCCCCTATATATGCATTTCCAAAATGCATGTTTCAAATGTATGGTCTTGTTTCAAGTGTAAAATCCTTCCATGTAAAAGAAAAAAAAATCTATTTCCATTGTTTTGTTGCAGAGGCGAGGGATTTGGGTGTGGGGTATTTTGCCTTTTCTCACGATGAAGAGGAGCGACGTAAACAGAGGGACACTTTGGACATGCTCCGAGACCAGGTGAGAGAGAGAGGAAGGGCGAGAGGGGGAGGGGAATGGTATATTGTCTCAGAGAAAACATTGTATAAATAATTGCAAACAAGATAGCAAAAACTATATTCATTTATAATTGTAGCATGTCAGTTTACCAGCATTTGCCTTGTCATAAATAAATAAATAAATAAATATAAATATAAAAAAAAAAAATAATAATATTATATATATATATATTATATATGGAGAGTACTGTTGTAAATGTGCTGTATAAATAATGTATATTGTGAACACCACATATTTATATGCTCACTAAAAATTTTCATATCAGTATCTTACATGAGATGTATTTGTTCCCAGACAACAGATCAGCGTAACAAACGTGAGCGTCTGAAGGAGAAGAGACAGGCACTGCTTCAGGCCCGACTTGCCAAAGTTCGACAGAGGAAGAAGAAGAAGGCCAAACTTGATGGCACTGAAGAAGAAGAGGAGGCCAAGGAAGAGGAGAAAGAACGTAAGACCAGAGAGATAGATCAGATAATATCATGTTTATAGGAGGTGGAGTGTCTAGTGTGGTACTTTTCTAATTTAATTAATTAGAATGGCATTTTGGTTGATTTGAACTTGTTCCAAAAATACTGCAATAGTTTCATTTAACAGTTATTATACAATTCTACTAAGAACAATAAATTATAAAATGGTAAACATTCTAAGCAGTCAGTGATATTTTATTAGCACCATGTTTTTACAGGTCCTGGTTTTTCAAATTTCACATTGATCTACAATTTTGAACCTACCCTATTGGTGCATGTAAAGCACTCAAATTAAGAAAAGTGCTATATATGGAGTTCTTAATATCACTTGTACCAACCTCATGTTTGTTTCTCTAGCAGAGGAAGAGGAGGCAGAGGTGTTGGAGGAGGACGTCCCGGTGGTGAGCATCGTGAAGAAGGTGGAGGTGGAGATCCAGGAACGAAGAGATACTAAACCTGGAGTCCCCCATGTCCGAGAGTGGGACAGGGGCAAAGGTAAACACATGATATATGTTATGTTTCTTTTTTACATAATGATGTGATAATTACAGTACAATCACAAATCATAGCCTGTCCATGGATTTCAGAATGATGAGAAATTAGAACAGCTGCCATAGCAATTAACTTTTTAAAAATATATTTTTTCACTGGGAAAAAGTCCTCAAAATGTTGTGTAGCCATGGGTTTCAGCTTCCTGTTTATAGGCAATATTTGGATGACTTTTCACTGTACAAATGACATAATATTTATCTTTACATTTTTAATTGCTATGGCAAAAGTCCTACATTTTCATCATTCGAAAACCCGTGAAAGATTGGTTGGAAACAAAAGCTGAAAGTTATATTTTATAGGCCTGTTTTACTTGTGTACTTATGGCATAACAGTAAATGTAATGCATTTTGATTAAGTGAAGTTATTTTAAAATCAATTCCATTTTCTTGATGTTGTAGAATAGTCTTGATATTTTATAAGAACAGTTTAAAAGAATAATTATACATTTTCGAGTTAATGCTTAAAGGTTGTATGGAGGATTTTTTTTTTTGTTTCAAATTGTCAATGATAGCATTATAGAGATGCAGTAGCCTTGCACCGCTCCCCTCTCCTCTCTCCTCTCTCCTCTCCCTGCTCCCTGCTCCCTGCTCCCTGCTCCGCTCTTCTCCCTGCTCCTCACTTCTCGTCCGCGCACGAAATGTCCGCGCACCCGCTCCCCCCGCTCCTCACTTCTCCGCCTTGCCTAACCAACACTGTAGTTCTGTAGTTAGCTGTTTACAAGTCATGTGCAGCGCACCGGCTGTAAACAAACCTGTTTCTGGCGTAAAGAGGAGGCGGGAGGAGGCGTTTCTACGTAGGGAGCTGTAGGGGAGGGGGGGTGGTTTCACGCATGCGCAACATTTGAAAAAGGACAAACAGTCGCTGGATTTCTCGTTCCTTGGAAAATCCTCTATACAACCTTTAAAACATGAAATATTAGGTCATAAATACCGATACACAAAATCACTTTTTCCAAATGCAATCTGTGTTTTTTATTTTTATTTTAGCCTAGTAACTGAATAAAGTTGGATAAGCAAAAATTCCACACGTACCGGTACTATATCATATTTTTTGTGTTTCTTGTTGCAGAGTTTATGTTTGATGAATGGAAAGATCGTCGCCGTAAAGAGCGAGATTCCGAGTTTGCTCCTCCATCTGCTTATTTCAAAGAAGACACCAAGAAGCACAGATCAGGAAAACCCCAAAATATGACAAGCCCTGGTCAAAAACGCTTTTCAAATCAACAAAAGATACAGAAGAGCCACCAGTAACCAAACCAGAGGCTCCTCTATCTCCTCCATCAAATGAGCCAAAAGTACAGCAAGATCTCCCCAAACAACCTCCAAATGTTTGTGTACCACCACCAAGTTTTGCCCCCCCAAGGTTTGCCACAGGTCCTCCTCAAGGTTACACCACATCTGAGCCACTTCCTCCTGGAGTGTCAGCTCCAGTTGACCCCTCTCCCAACTACCAGTATCCACAGGCTCCATTTTGTCTTCCTTTCCCTCCTCCATTCCCCCCTCCTCCTTTTCTACGGCCAAATATGCCATACCCACCTCCACCAGTAGGGCCAATTTATGCTCCAAATTATCAGCAGCAACAGCCACAGCCTCCTCAGCCTTCTCCCCCAGGTGAGCAAGAACAGGTGAAACCTGGGAACCCACAAAACAAAGAGTCTTCACAAAGTTTGGATGACATGCTTTCCTTCTATAGAAATGCAACCTGAATGTTAAAGTCTTGTTTTTTTGTAGTAGTTGAATGAGCCTAAATACGTTTTCTGTTTAATATGCCAATAAACTGAATTGTCCATTCATCCAATAAATCTGAAAAATTACACCATGTTTTAATTGTTACCATATATACACTATAACCATTTAACTGAGCAGCATATCTGGCTGTGGGCATCTGCTTACCAGTTCCTCCCCTAAAAATTAAAAAATAGAAATTATAATGCCATTTACCTCAAGTAAAATAAAAGTGTGATCCACTAGAAGATTATTCAAATTGTATTAATAGGGCACAGAGGTGGGTAGAGTACTAATATTTTTACTCATGAATGAGTATTTAAATGTACTTTAAAATAATAATACTCAATACCTAGAAGGACAAAGTACTGGTCCAAGAAATTACTCAGGTAAGAGTAAAATATGCAATCGTAAGGATAAAACATTCAATTTAAAAAATAGGTCACAGAAGTACAGTTGCATTAAGAGCAGTGGAAATATACTGGTGGTGGTGAAAACAAGTTGATCAGAGCAATGAAGTTGTTTAAAACAAAAAAGTGTATCAAATGAGAAAAAAAAATCCTCAAAATGCTGTGCAGCTGTCAGTTTCAGCTTCCTGTTTACAGGCAACTTTTGGATGACTTTTCACCATTTAAACAACGTAATATTTTGCTTTAAATTGTTAATTGATGAAAATTTAACACTGCTGCCATAGCATTCTGAAACCCATGATTTTATGGGTCTGTTGTACATATGATCTAACAGAAAATATAATGCCTTTTGATTAAGTGATTGAAGTTGATTTAAAACCCATGCATTGCGCAATGCCTTAATATAGTTGAATAAGAACAACTTAAAAGAAAAGGTAAATTTTGCATAATGGGTCTACTTTAATCTGCAGTGTAATGCAATCATGTGAAATCTAACTTAAATCCATACAATATTCACTTAGATTTGCTGATTCACCATTGTAATGTTTTTAATTAGTCTTTTTTGGGACAGAGGGGTGTCCATTGACTACCCTGCCCCTTCACGCAGGAGCAGGTTTGAAAAATGATTTGTGGATCTGGAGAAGGCAGTTTTAATCTGACCATGGAGGAGCTCAAAAGCTACGCACACACACACACACACACACACACGCACACACACACACGCACACACACACACACACACACACACACACACACACACACACACACACACACACACACACACACACACACACACACACACACACACACACACACTGTTTTTATAATGGGGAATAAATGACCCTGAGTGCAGAGTGGATGGAGCTCTGGGGAGGATTTAATGATGCTGTGAATGTGGTCCCAAGCAGAAAATGAGAAACTAAATAATTAAAACTAACTTTATTTTGGAAATATGTGATTTTTAAAGGTGCACTATGTAACTTTTCTGGAGGAGGGATCGCCACATGTTTGGCTCATTGGAAATGTTATTACTTTGCCTGGAATGTTTCCAGTATGTCATCAAGCAGTAACTTAACCACCATCTCCAAAGAGGCAAACAGGTGATACCAACAGTCCAAGTTACCGACGTGTCAGATCTGTGGAGAGGCAAGTCTGCTCTCAGAAAGAATGCTTTTCAAAGTATTTTTGAGCAATAAAAACACATGTAACTGAATAAATGCAAGATATAGATAAAGACATCCACTCAAGACATGCTGAATGGTAGTATCAATGTTAAAAGATCTTTTGGGGACAAGCAAAAATAACAATTCTATTTCTGTTTTTGACATGAAAGGCAGAGTTTACCGTAAAATTTTAAATACCGTTTTAATGAGAAAAGTTCATTGTTTAACTGCGTCCCTGACTGTGTGTTTACGACTTTTCCTAATTACTCTAAATTGAAGTTGTAAATCCGCTCATTTATTTTACGGTTTCTGTTGCTAAATTATAAACACATCCTAGAGACATTGTAAAATTTGAAGTTTAATTTTAGTCTCAGTTTGTGGTGTAGTGCAGTAGACAGGCCTTTAGTTTAGACTGTTGTTTGGCTTAAAAGTTACATAATGTGGCTTTAATTAAGGAGTTAAGTCTAGGGTATTAAGTAGTTACTAAGCCTGAATATTTCTTAATAAACCTACAGGTACCATATTCTCAATTTTCTGATGTATGTTATGTTCTTTCCTCATCAGAAACATACCTGGAGTTATGTTTTGTTTTACACACACATACACAAAATCGCTGCAAATTTAGGCTGAGTTCTTCTCTTTCTTATTTTTCTTACTGATCATTGGCAAATAGAAATGACTCAACTGTGCAGCCCATGTTTACAATAGTTTTGCAACTGTAATTTACCTCACCTCGTACCTCATAGAAACTCACAGACTTCATTTTGTCCTTATTTTCTGCATAAATATATTTGACTTAAACCAGAAGAGGTAGTCCCCATTCATCTTAAAGAGGCACATTGAGATTCAGTGCAGTTTTTAAACAGCTCCAGATCAATACGTCCACAGACAGTGACAGGAGCGGCCCTGTCTTCAAACTGCAGCTCATTTAGGCTCAGTCACAAATCAATATCAAACACACTACAACACAGTCTAAGATAACAATGTGTATGTATGTCTCTTTGTGTAAGCCTGTATCATGCCTCTTAATATCAGTATCATATTATTAACTTGTGTTTTTTCTGAACTTTCGAATAGTCATATAAATACTAAATGTACCTTAAAAACAATGTATCCTCTTTTTACAGATTTAAAAAAAAAAAAAGCTAGTAAAAAGTGTACTGTACAACTTTTCAGGTGGAAGAATATTCCATGGTATGACATTAAACAAATTTATCTAGCATTTATTCATTATATGTGCTTCTATTGCTGTGAATAGGGACGACTCTCCACAGATCTGAATAGTAAAGTAGTGCAGTGCTGTAACCTGCTCATCTCCCTCGTAATAGATAGGTTTAATCTATATTGCGGAACATTCTAGCCAAAGCAATAACATTTCCATAGAGACAAACAGGTGGCGGACCCTCCACTTGAAATGTTACACACCTTTAAATTTAAATTTTCAAGTTTACAGCGGTCCAAACATATTCCTCTCTTCCCTGGCATAGCATAATAATTATTTGCAATAACAACTAGCATGCTTACAGCGCACCAGCCTTACTTCCATGTTTCACGGATGATATAAATGACAGCACGCAACAGTCTCATTTAACCCTAAGAGCTGCTTCAACAATATATTATCTCTACATCTTTTCTATGTTTTTTCAGGATGATTATTGAGTCAAATCATTGTAGAGCTTAAAGATGCACTATATAACATTTCTGGTGGTGAGTCAGCCACTTTTGTGTCCATGGAGATCAACAGCAGCATCTATCACTAATGAAAGTTGAATAATGTGACCAAACCAAGATACAAGTCACATCTGTGGAGAGGAGATCCTGCATGTTTCACTTTGCTCTCACCAACAATAATATTTAGGGAAGTGAATGGATGATTGAAGAGTTATTTTCTATTTAGAGCATGCTATGATAAATATTGCTTCTTCATGTTTTTTATAAACTTACATATTGGGAGCTCGTATCTGGCCAATAGTTGTTTACAACAAAGCCAGAGCTATTTGTGGGATATATTTGTCTGTGATTTGTCCATCTGCTGATGAGGCCTGCTGTCATAGTTCACTGGCCCCAGTCTGTTTCACATGAGGAGGCCGTGTCCTGAGCTGTGGGGGGCGCCGCCGTGTGGAAGGCTTCCACTGGAAGCACAGACAGGCGGTGCTGCAGAGATCATTGGTCCCATCACATCCATGAACACCTGCTGTGATCCAAAGGAGGAGGGAGGAGGGAGGAGAGAGGAGGGAGGAAGGAGGGACACTGTTCACTGATTTAGAAACAGCACCAACATGGTCAGTGCAGGAGAGATAGGGTCCACACTGAAATATTTTTATTTTCAAAAACTGCTAAATTTCCAATTATTTAACTCTACAAAAACAGGCATTTATTAACAAGGACAGCATATGCTTACTTTGTATAATATACCAGAGTAAGCCAAGAGATTTATTACTAACTAATTAAAGATGCTTTATGTAACTTCTCTGGTGGAAAACCTGTCACCTGCTTGTCTCCATGGAGATATTATTGCTTTGCCCTAGTATATTCCACACCACAGCAGTAAATATATGTGTATCTCCATGAAGATAAGCAGGTGATGTCACCAAGCCAATTTACAGGTCCCGTCTATGGAGAGGCACCCCTGCTGACAATAAGAAAGAAAGTTTTTACTGGTATTTTTAGCAATAAAAAACCAAACCTGCACTTGGGTCAGAATAGAGTTTAATGCCATGATACCCCCCCACCAGAAAAGCTACATAGTGGACCTTAAAAAACAAAACCAACATACATCTGTACAAGATGAGGCCCTGTGCCAATTTCTTTCCATGGATTTGTGCAAAATTTGCCCCAGTACAGATATATTGTATAAACTCTTGAGGTCAAAATACTTCATTTGTGTATTGTCTGAATCTAATTATAAAGCACTTTATTGTCAGACAATCAGGAAGTACACCGTTAACATGCTAGTGTCATTAGCATTGCTGTGATGCCAAAACTCATAAAACTCATGAACACGTTGTGGTGAATAATTAGGATGCGCATAATGCATAAGGTAAGTGAGGAATAACTTTGGACCATGGTAAACTCTTTAAAATTAACTAGTCTTGTTTTTCATGTTTTTAAGACAGTAAAAATCAGGTCCAGCGCCTTTATCTTTCCAAGTCCTCGGGTTATTGTTTCTGTTTTGTCACGTTTACAGCTGCTTGTCATTAAACCCCATTGTCTCGTCTCTTCTTCACAAACAGTGTCCAGCTGTGTCTTCCTTTGTCGTGAATCAAACTGAGCTAAAATTATCCTCCACCACTCACCAGAACTTTAACTTTATCTGAGGGTGTGACCACCCAACAACCTCCAGGAACAAACAATTCAACTGGGGGACTTTTTATTCATTCACTTCCACATTTTTGGCTAGTTAGTATTAAAGGTCCTAAATTACACAAAATTTGATTCTTGTGAGCTTTAAGCCGTGTTGTTACCTCCCTAAAAACATACCCAGAGTTGTGTTTTCTTTTATTCACACGTTTTTCA